CCGTCCAGTAGTCGTGGTGGGAGTAGCGGCCGCCGTGGTAGGATGCACCTGCCGCTGGAGCTCCGAAAGGCTACCGGCTTGCTGTTTCTTTCCGCTGTTGGCACTTCCGCCACCGCCACCCGCACCGCCGCCGCCGGGTGAAGGTGTTTGCGGGGATGCAGCCGAAGCTTGGAACTTTTCCGACGAATGCTTGCCTTTGGTTATGCGCTTGGATCGCTCCCGCAACGCTGGCGATGGCCTCTTCTGCTCCTCATTACTCATTGACTCGTCCACATCCATGTCCAGTTCACACTCAACGGGAGGCTGCTCTTCCAAAAACCGATTCACATCCGCCGAACTACTTATGAGGCTATCCAGTGCCAAGAAATTCTCAGAATTCTTGGCGAACAGCTCGTGATCCTTGCTCTGGAGATGGATGTTCAGAGTGTCGTACTCCAATTTACAGATCTCGCACACTCCTCCCTGTTTCTCGCTCGAATCTTTCGGCTCCCGTAGGTTGGAACGTGGACTATTCGGCGGGAGAGTCGATTGCTTCTTCAGCTGTTGCAAGGCTGGATGCTGGGGTATCTTTTCCTTGTCTTTCTGGGATGTGCGCGAGCTCTGGGACTTGCGGGTCATGCTCTGCTCTTGTTCCTTTTTCTCCTTTGTCTTCGACTTGGTTAGCAGTCGAAAAGCGCCGTCCTCGCTGCTAAGGTCGATCTTTGGCCAGTCGTCTGGCTGCTTAATTAAATGATAGTACGGCCGATAGTTTCGCTTGACAGACTCGATCTTCACATACTGCTTCTTGAGCTGAATGTGATGGGGGCTACCTGTTGCGCCGCCAGATCCCGATCCTCCTGCTCGGCCGCTCTCCTTCTTACCCTCCAAGTACTGCTTAAGTTCGGTTTGGATGCGCTTTATGAAGCGCTGGGCGTAGTCCGTCTGCCAGATGGTATAGCTACGCTTTATGGATGTTGTGGGTGTGCTATTGACACCGCTATTGGGCACCCCAACTGTTGTCCTGCGGACGCGACTTAGTATGGCATCAGCTCGGGATTGCCGCTGATTCGGTTTTCTGGCCGACGAGCATCCATCGTCCTGATAGTGACTGGTGGGTGTGCCGGGTGTGGATGGTGTACCAGGTGTTCGGCCTGTTTGTGTTCCGCTACCGACCTCTGGCTTGTCGGTTATAAAATGTGTGATATTGTCGCTCAGGAAGAACTCGAGATGTCCACCCAAAGCTTTAATATCGGACTCGATCCGAGTGGCTAGCTGATGGTCACAGATGTCCAAATAGAACTTGAAGTGACACAGCGGGCGTTTGCTTTTGATGACCTTTATTTTAGGCGGAGTTGTTTTTGTGGCTGTTGTTACAGATGCTGTTGCTGTTGCTGCTGCTGCTGATGTTGCTGCTGGTGTTGCGTTGCTAGTTGTTGTTGCGAGTCTGCTGGCGCCTTGTTTGTCCGACTGCGGTTGCATACCTTCTGGCGCAAATTAGCTGCACAGCCGGCCCAAGAGCCCAGAATAGAGAAAGAAAAGAGTGGAGACAAGAGACAATTAATTACAGATAATGCAAATCCAATATCTTACAGTCAAACCCCCATATATCACAAATACATTTAATGATAAATTACGGTATTAATTTTATAATATTTAATGGACATTTTTAAACAAAAAAACACTAATGCAAAACAATTATTTTTTGTGATTATGGAATATTTGACTGTAGTTTAAAAAATCCAAACACCAACCGCATTTACAAACTCCTTTGCCGCGAAAATTAAATAATAAGTAGAAACAGTTAAATCACTGCCCAGAGGTCCTCCCGCATCTGCTTCTGCTTCTTCTTGCTCCTGGCTTGCTTGGGTTATGCAATTTTGCATTCGGATACACAAAAATCAAATCAATAATTGCATTCCACTGCATTTCGGTATGTATTGCTCAAATGCCCATCGTGTGCCGAGTGTGAGTTAATATAATTTTAATTCCAAACTAAAAATGGGACGACTATCAACCAACCCAAGCGGGTGGAAGAAGAAGAAGAAGCAGCAGCTGTGCGGCAATAGAGTGCTACCAGATTGGGTAATAGTCTTAGCACGTTGCCACTTTCAAATATATAGTGATGATACAGCTGGCAAGGCAGGGGATTAAAAACCAGTTTTAATTTGAATCTTAAAGGAGGGAAATTAAAAAAATCTTACAAAGAATTAAAAAAAAGAATTTAAAAAATATTTTGGCAGTATAAAATGAATTAACCCAAATTACTATTTAATTAAAAAATCATTATCATTATGTTTAAACAATTATCATACTTCTGATTCATCTCAAATTATTAATTAAAAAATATAATCTTAAAATGTTCGTGTTTTTCTTTTTCTATACTTTTGTTTTTATACTTTGTTCTGGGTCATTGCTTATCGCATTTCGTTATGTTCCCCACCTTCGTTAAAAAAGAATGCGAATGAGCCTGCAATGGCATAAAGACCGATGACCGATATCAATTAGGTTTTAAACTTATCTGGCAACACCCGCCCACCCACTCCTAAATAAATGAACTGCCCAAAAGGCCCCAAAATCGACATATAACCTGAAAAACAAGCAAAACAGCAAGCTGCGCTGGCACTTTTTCCCCCATCCCCCTTTTTTTTTTGCCATTACAAAACGAAACTTAGTCGCAAAGCGGAATGCGGGAGAACGACGAGTGGCAACCCTCAGCAGCAGCAGCAGTAGCAACACCAGCAACAACAAAATGATAATAAGAAAACGAAGACGGCAAAAAATAACACACACGAAATAAAATAAGAGCAAATGGAAAAAAACGCACAAAACTCAAAGATACCGAGGGAGGGAGAAAGAGCGACAGCAGCCGCAGCAGCAGGCAGCAGTGGCGGCGGCGGCAGAAAAGGGAAAAAGCAGGCACACACGCAGTACATAAATTTGTACGTTTGTGGAAAAAAAAAATTCATGTGAAGTCGCGGATGAAGCTGACAATGCGGTGGAGGCCGAAATCACACACACACACACACACAAACAAACAAACATAGATACTCGAACAGTGAAAGATACAAACAAGCAGAAAAGCAGGCCCAGGGCAACAACAAGCAACAACAAAAACACGAGAGGCAAACTTTACACGCCAAAGCTTCAAATACCCTATACAAGATGGTTCCTAAAAATTCTTATCTAATAGAACTGGTTTCTGGTCTATTTACTATTCAGATTGTTTACTTTTTACGCTTTATTTATTTTTTACATTATTATTAATATTAGTATTAACTGTTGCATGACCACACTGGTAGTAGTCACTAGTAGTAAGGGTATGAAAACATAGTCATCCTACAGTGGTCACTCAACCGCCATGTGTTTGGATATACCATTGGAGAAATATTTTGTGTCTAGAAATGTGCCTTGGAAACGTATAGTGTGTTGTTTGTTGTTCTCCTGGGTTGCCGGTTTTGCTAATTGTTCGATTATTCCCCCATATAGCCCTCTATATGGTATATGGGTATATGGTATATGATGTGTGTTTGTGTGTTCCTCGAGTGGTGAGGAGCAACCACTGTGCCCAGTAGAGCTACATATGTAGCCGAAGTATCTACCTCGCCACCGTATATTTCTCAGTCGTGTGTTATTCACAATTTCCGAGTAATACTCGTTTTTTGTTTTTTCTTTATTCCATTGCACTGTATTTCTGCTGTAGCTTGCTCTCTCCTGCGCTTTACACGTACGTTCGTTGGCAGCGGGCAAGGGAACACAAAAAAAATAAATAAAAATGGTGACGAATCATTTGAAATTTAGCCGAAAAGCCGAACTGTAAAAAAAAACTTGTGCATAAAATAACAAACATTCACACACACACACACTGGCACACGCACAATGGGGCAAGGGCGGAAGGCGGTTGGAGAGACAGGGGGGAATAAGCTTGCTTACCTTTCAGAAATTCACGGAGTTGCTCAGCGGATATATTCCTATAGCCTAATTCATTTAGGTGCTGCAGTATGGCCCGTGCATCTAATGGCAAATGTGACATTTTCTATGACTTTTCGCCAATTGTTCACGATTTTTTCGTATTGTTAATTTTTTGTTTATATTCCACTCTCACATACACGACACACATACATATGCACCCCGTTTCTTGTCGTTTCTCTTTCTCGTTTGTTTCGGTTTTCTGGCTACTGCTTCTTCTTCCCCTTTTAGCTACAGCTTCGTGCGCCGACAATCGACTCAAATTTTCACTGTACTTTTGTTCGTTTTTGTCCGTTGGCACCGCGTTGGCCGTATTTTACTTGCATTTAGTTGCGTCGAATTAATTAGTTGCAACGCTAAATATACACACAACTGTATTGGAACGATCGGGTGAGCGTCTATCGTTCCGTTGCATACGCCTTTGTTATTTTACTGATTTTCACCCACTGTATTTTTGCAGGGCGTCGCCAATTTGGTTGTGCACGCACAGTTCATGAGTATAAATGGGCTTTTTCAATTTTCACATGTTTTCCAGATAGTTTTATAACAATTTTCACCAATTGAAAATAAAGTGTACACGAACAGAGCAGCGCACACACGCTCGACCAACAAATTTTTCGTCGTGTTATCGATAGGCAGTGGTCATGAGAGTGGTGGCTAGGGATGGGCAACATTGCTGTTGGATATGGTGGTGAACTGTGATACTGTGAGGTGAACAGTCACGATTTACTTCTAGTAATTAACCTTTAATTTAACTAACTAGTTACTTTTACATGTATAAAAACCATTATAAATATAAATTAACAGTATTCAGCATGATTAACTAATAGTAGGTATTTTCATAAGATATCAAAAAGCGTTATAACAAACAAAAACTGTCTTTACAGGCTGTTTGAAATTTAAAAGTTTTAAAGCGGTTATGATTTTTATTTCTTTCATGTATTCTTTTAAAGTTTAAAATCCCTTGTTTATCAAAAGTCGTGACCGGTCTTATCTAGACTACAGGATACTTTCGTGTTTCACCTCAAGTTATCGATAGCTAGGTTCTGTCATCGCTGCCACCTACACACCGAAAGGCTTTTCATTGTTGCTTTGTGTGCTCTGATTCTCTCGGTTTCTCTGTTCTGCGTCTGCGTCCCGTTTGCGTGGATAAAAAGATAGAAAAAAGAAAGAAACGAACGCTATTCGGTCAGATCGTATACTTATAAAATGTCTCGCTGTGCGTACCTGCTTTGTTTGCTGTTCTTAGGTGAGTGATATTCGCGTGGAGAATGTGACACAGATCTTTGAGATATTAATGAGATACTCGTGTGATCTGGTTTTCCAGCTTCCAGTTGCCTGATTTCCAGTGCGAGCGCAGGGCGAAGTAATTATGGCAGGAGATACAAAACGACCGAAGCGCCCACCACCACCACGCCCCCACCGACGCCAAAGGAATATCTCGACAGTCGGGCAGGAATCTCGACATTCGGGATCATCGCCATTATCTTCACTGTAATAGTTATCTGCCTAGTTTTCTACTACGGCATTATCTGCTACCCCCTGCTCTGTCGGGACGAGAAAAAGTATCGCTTCATGGACGTGTCCTCTACAATTACGGCGGCAACCTCGCGTTCCATTCAATCTATAGAGAACTATCCGGACCAAAAGCACCACCATCAACTGGCCTGATTTACGATATATAGGCTTCCGATTTAGTTGTACTTAAAAAAAAAAGACTTTGACATCCTGCAAGTAACGAAAGCATAAATATGCTTAGCGATTTCAAGCTTCAAAGTATCTGACAAGAATCTTTTTTCCTTACAGTAATCCTTCATAGAAAATTTAAACAATAGAATAAAAATAAGACCTGTTTCAATATTGAAATTTGAAAGTATTGAATATTATAACAGGTCAGATCCAATCAAATATCTCAAGAAATTAGGAAAGAAATTTCACCCTAATCTACTTTAATCAAAATTTTTAGGTTCTTGTCAAATCTTTTGGGGACTTTTAGTGTTAAATGTAGCCATAACCAGTCGAGCAGTTCACTGGAAAGGGATTTAATCATTCATAATTGTAAATTGTGTTCCCAACGCATCCACTGTTTCTTTATCTGTTGCTTGTATAAATCCCTATCCCTATCCCAGGCTCAGGCTCAGGCTCAACAAGTTTGGCCAGTCCTCCGTCCCTTTTTCCTTGGCTCTGGCCTCTACCTTCGAGCGATACTTTTTATTTCATTTTATGCAGGTAGTTTTACCCGACTGTCCAAAACGTTTACCCACCGCTTTGCTCCGTCCGTCCCCGTCCACTTTTCTGGTCTCTGATATTGTATTTTTGTTTTGGACAAAGCCAAAGTGTGGCAATTGAGTCACGTTGCTATGGCTGATTCATAAGAAATCTCACGAAATTTGCCAGACTTTCTGTTTTCAATTAAATCGCTGATCCCTTTGCATGCAGAACGGATCGTATTACCAGATGAAACGTTGATGATGCCTCGAATATATGCCCTCATTGCTCGAAAATAACTTCAATTCCGAAATGCATTTAAATGCCCCAAACACACACAGGTTGTACTTACATAGATCGAAACCAAGTACTTAATTTAAAATATCATGCCAATCATAGTTTAAGCCCAAAACTCTGCCGTCGAATTAAGCAATATGGAATTGTGCATTTAGCTTTTAAACTGAATCGTGTATTATTACGCTTTGTGTCAAATTGTGTTTCCTAGAATTAAGCAAATTCACTTTTTTATACATATACACCACTTTTTGGAAATTTTATGCGAATTTTTGCAAAAAAAAGAAAGAAATAAAATAAATACAATTTTAAACTTTAAAACATTTATAATTTTTCAGGTTCAACAAATAAAGGAAAGTTTTCTTCGGTCAGAGTTGATATACCCTTGCCAATAATGGCAGTTTATGTTTTAAGATAATATCGGATGGGATAGATACTGCAAACATTGGATCACTGGCCCACTGTGATGGCCATATCTTCCCCAATTCTCATCCGATTCTCAAACGGAGTACCTTAAACGATTTGTGGATCGATTCTCCACCATTCTGCATCAAAATCCTGAGACAAAATATTTTTTAGATTTTTTGTCCATTTTTCGTAGGGGGATCCCTTTAAAATGAGATTTTCCCCTGAAGGGTCCACAGTGATGGCTGTATCTTCCCCAATTCTCATCCGATCCTCATGCGGAGTACCTTAAACGATTTGTGGATCGATTCTCCACCATTCTGCATAAAAATCCTGAGACAAAATATTTTTTAGATTTTTTGTCCATTTTTCGAGAGGGGATCCCTTGAAAATGGGATTTTCCGCTATAGGGCGCACTGTGATGGCTATATCTTCCCCAATTCTCATCCGATCCTCATGCGGAGTACCTTAAACGATTTGTGGATCGATTCTCCACCATTCTGCATCAAAATCCTGAGACAAAATATTTTTTAGATTTTTTGTCCATTTTTTGTGAGGGGATCCCTTGAAAATGGGGTTTTCCCCTATAGGGCGCACTGTGATGGCTGTATCTTCCCCAATTCTCATCCGATCCTCATGCGGAGTACCTTAAACGATTTGTGGATCGATTCTCCACCATTCTGCATAAAAATCCTGAGACAAAATATTTTTTAGATTTTTTGTCCATTTTTCGAGAGGGGATCCCTTCAAAATGGGGTTTTCCCCTATAGGGCGCACTGTGATGGCTGTATCTTCCCCAATTCTCATCCGATCCTCATGCGGAGTACCTTAAACGATTTGTGGATCGATTCTCCACCATTCTGCATCAAAATCCTGAGACAAAATATTTTTTAGATTTTTTGTCCATTTTTTGTGAGGGGATCCCTTGAAAATGGGGTTTTCCCCTATAGGGCGCACTGTGATGGCTGTATCTTCCCCAATTCTCATCCGATCCTCATGCGGAATACCTTAAACGATTTGTGGATCGATTCTCCACCATTCTGCATCAAAATCCTGAGACAAAATATTTTTTAGATTTTTTGTCCATTTTTCCTGAGGGATCCCTTAAAAATAGGGTTTTCTCCTATAGGGCCCACTGAGATGGCTATATCTTTCTCAATTCTCAAAATAATAAAATAAAAATTATTAAATTTTGTTACACAGTTTATTCAATTCATGGTACAAAATTCATATGTTCGATGGTTTCAATTCTCTATAAGCTATTTGAGGATTGGTAAAAAACGCGCTAGTATAGTACTCGTAGTTTTATTTATATTTAGATACGCTGGCTGACCTTAGAATATCATTATCATTCAGAATGCAAGTTATCATTATCGGTAAGTGGAAAATTGAGCTTGAGCCGCACAGTCTTGATGGTAGGTGGTGTATGAGTTAATCTCCTACAGCTCATCCTTGGAAACATCGTCTAGGTCGATGTCGCTCAGATCGATGTCCTCTTCGGTGGGCAGCTGGCCGTCCTTACCATCCCAGGGATCCACGGACACAATATCGGGCTTCTTTGCGCCTCGAACGGGAGCAGTATGGCCACGGCCGTAGGAGATGTCGCGCAGGAACTCATTGATGCCGTCCTTGGAGAAGGAACCTTTCAGAACGGAGAATTTCATTTTCTTGAAGTTAACAACAGCCATGGCCGGGTAACCAAAACCGCCCACTTCAAGGGATTCCTCAAGAGCCAGCTGCTGACCACCTTCGGCCCAAGCCCAGCCCCAGAGCTTCTGCTTGTAACTCTCTCCCAGGGTACGGAGAGTATCCAGGAACTTGTTACGGCACTTGGCATCGCAGTCCAGAATGTGGGGAAGCACAGAAACCACGCACAGGGGCTTGCCCTCACATGCGCTATCAAAAGTTGATTCGTTAGTGATTTCTATCAGTTCGGGGGCTGGAACATTGGCCACATGCTTGTCGCTAGCCCAGGACACAATATCAGAGGCAGTGCGTCCACCATCGTACTCCTGAGCATCGCTGGCGCGCTTAGATCCAGCCGCGAAGAATTTAATAGTTGGATAGCCGCGAATATTGTACTCGGCAGCCTTGCTCTGGTGGGCGGTGGCGTCGAGAGCGCCCAACTTGACCTTGCCCTTGAGCTGTTTGGCAGCACTTGCCCACTCTGGGGCCAGATTCTTGCAGTGGCCGCACCACGGGGCAAAGAACTCTACTAGCCAGATGTCGTCCGAGTTGAGGACCAGCTTGTCGAAGTTGTCTTCTGTAAGTTCAATGACATCATCACCGGATGAGCTGGAACCGCCGCTGGAACTGCCGCCGCCAAAAGCAGCTTGCACCTTCTTCTTCGCCTCCGCTAGAGCCGCCTCCGCAATTGCCTTTGCCGTGCGTTGGCCATTGTAATCGGTGGGCGTCTTTTTATTGGCGCCGAAAATCTTGATGGTGGGAAAGCCACGTACACCAAACTGGCCGCCTAGAGAGCTATCAGCATCGGCATTCACGGAACCCACTTTAACGACTCCCTTAAGGGCCTTGGCCAGCTTCTTGTATTCCGGCACCAAGCTCTGGCAGTGACCACACCACGGGGCATAGAACTCCACAACCCAGATGGCGTCGTCTTTCAAAACTTCCCGATCGAAATTTGAGGACGACAGCTCCACAACTCCATCTGAAGGGGAGTAGAAGCCATAGGCGTTGCCGGCTATGAAAGCCAGTATTAAAATAGTCGCTAAAAAATATAAAGTTTAAATTTTAATAAAATTCGCACATATTAAAGCCATTATTGCTAAAACTTACACAGCTGTCGCATTCTGTTTTTTTGTTGTGCGTAGAGCTTACGTGTCGCTCGGCGTTTTATCTTTCAGATTGATTTGGTCTTTCCTTAATCAAGTGTCTGTCTTTTTTAACTAAGTATAGAGAAGCGGTGTGATGCGGCTTTTATTTCTTAACAAAAAAGAAGTACACGTCACTAGAAACGCGAACTATCGGCTAGCGGTGTGCCGGCTTCCCAACGACGTGACTGCTCATCTCTAAGGAAATTGCTCATCTCTAGATATTTGAAATTTAAATTCTTTTCCCGCGTCGTTTTATGTCGTTGCCAGACTAATGATCAAATGTCTACTTTCTTCTGAAAATATGGCAGCATTAATTTAAATTTTAAGATTTCTTTCAATCGGAACTTCACAAAAGTATATAGAACTATATTTGCCAATAATTTTCAACTTGAGGTCGGTTATTAATTTAAAAATCTGACAGATATGTGATATGTTTAGTCACATAACATAATATTTTATTACGAACAGAAAAATGTAAACTTTGAGCTAAAATTTTAAAACTTATAAAAGCTTAAGAAGAATAACCAATTTGAATCCTGTTTGGTAAGGTAGAAATACCCTTAAAGGAAGTATTTAGGTAGAGTTAAGTATTAGTATTTAAAAAGCTATTTCTTGACGATTAGACTTTTCTATTCCTCCTACAAATATTTCAAAAATATGTTAGAATGTTTTATTTCAGCATATCAGAAATCTTATTAAAGTTTTTTAATATCTTATGTTTCTTTATTTTCGTTAGATTTGGTAATTTGTCTTGGTATTTTTCCTAGCTTTACTTTAATTTACTCACACATTGTTTTTTTGGGGAACCAGAATGTCCAGTATCGTAGTCCAGCCACTGTCTTCCTTTCCAGCCGCCCTCTTCGTCCTTGCTGGGGTCTTCGTTTGTTGCGTGCGCATATGAGATAAAATATGTGGTCAATTTTACTTAATAGCGACTTAGTAGTAGTGTTGCCAAGATTTATGTGACGTTCATATTGCCACAGTAAGACAGAGCAAAACAATTTAGTTTTCTGGTAAATCCCTGTAACCCCCAACACTTCACCCACCCCCATGTTATTCAAGGGTTAATTGGGGGGAGTCCGGCGGGTTCAACTTTCCCTTCTACGATCTGTATGTTATTTTTATGATTATTGAATTTTAATGCATATCGAATGCACACATAAAGATTCAATGACACATAGTCATAACTTCTTGGGGCTGTAACGAAAAGTTGGGGGTGTGGCCAACCCTTCTTTTCTGGCAGGCCGATTGTAATGTTTATGCCACATTTGGTTTGCACTTTTTGCTTTCAGCATAAAAAGGCGTAATATTTGTATTATCGTCAATGGGAAAAGTCTTGACACTGTAAAAAAATGTATACAAATTTTTAAATCAGTAATTGCACAACCCATTTTATTTTTTTTACTTGAGGAGTATTAAGTATAAACTTATAAAAGTATAAAGAATAAATTTATATTATTTTGTGTTTGGTTTACTTTTTCTTTTTCTGTGTATTGACTTTTCCTTACTGGCTTATCAAACAAATATTCTTATGCTCAGCGGAGCGATCTTTTTATTGATACGCTACGGTAAGGGTGCGGCGAAAATATTAACCCCTTGTTACCCCCAATATTACTGGTTGCTCCTGTTGTTGTGTCTGCACTTCTGACTTGTCCTGACGTCCTGTCAAAACACCTTTCTGCGAGGATGTGCGTCTGTCAGTGACACCAACCTTTCAGATTTTGGGTGGTTATGAGTGTGTGCACTTAAAAATATTTAGCCTTCCTTATTTAATTTTTTAAAGTTTTAAAAAAAGAATCCCATTATAATGCCTTGTTTAAAAATATGTAGACTTAAACACAAGCTATTATTTTATTTAAAATATTAAGATACTAATTGACTATTCGAATTTAAAAATCAGTTTTATTTAGCTTCAATCTTGGATTACCTAAAACTTTTTTTTAATCATTTCCGAATTTGGTTTGGAACACAAATTTTTATTCATTGTGTATCTTTTGGATTCCTTTTTTTTTATCGTCAAATGCCATTTTGCAACGTGTCATATTTACTTTGCGGATTTGTCCCATTATTCACTTGACAACACCACGGAGATCTGAGTACCCTTCAATTTTTTTTCCGTTTGATTCTCGAGTGCCTTGTGTGCGGCTTAGTTTAAAGTTGATTCGCTGCCACGCGCTTTCCATTTACCATTTCCCCCCCTTGTTGCATGGGTATTCCTTTCGGCCCTTTTCGGTTTTTGTTATTTTTGCAAATTTTACTTTATCTATTTTTCTATATCATTGAACTGTTTTTTATGGGATTTTCTTCTTGATTCGGCTTCGGTTTGGCCCGGAGTGGGGTTGGATGGGTGGTAAGTATTCTTGATTTTTGGTTGATTTGCAGGCCTTACTGACTTCTTATCGAGTGGAACGTACGTACGTCTGGGCATATGTGTGTGGAGAGTGAAATGATGATATGTGGCTTATTATTGTCAATTTTTATGGGTTTTTCATGTGTGACTGCATTTTGGTAGATGGGTAGACGGGTTTCTTCCCGAGAATATGTTGAAGGGAATGTGTTAGATAAGAAGGCGCGAAATGGTGGTGTGAGCGTTTGAATGGGAATTCGAGATGGGCAGAGGAGATTGGATTACTGAGATATTATTTTGGGAGTCAATTTGGTTAAAAAATCATAGAGATTTTTGAATAATATCTACAAAAACATGAATCCCTTCTAGGTGGTAAGAAAGTTAATTTTTGTTAATCAAACAAATCAAGTGGAACAATAATAAGAAAACCTCTTTTGTTATTTTACTATTTTATAATCCCCTTTTTATTGTTTATCTCCTTAAGTTTTTGCCACCGTATCCCTTAGAACTCAAAACCCATTTAAACAATCAACTTCCACCAGCAAATAAACTTTGCAACAGAACGTGATCAACCATAATCAAAGAATAAGGTACACTACTCGTACCACCACCCCCTAGGGAGGACACGATTGAGGAGGAAAAACTATCAGGCGTGTGTCTCAAAAGGGACGAGTGAAAAACCTTATAATTTTCTTATGAAATAAACTGCAAATAAAGTGAATTTTATGCAAAATATGTTTAATAAACAAAATCAAGCCATGGGGATAACAAAACAACTAAACAACCAAACAACCAAAAAAGGAAGAAAACGGGGACAAACTGGCAAAAGGACATCGACGACAGTGTGAAGATTTTTAATTGCCTTAGGAAAATGGGTGAGTGTGTGTGTGTGTCTGGGCGGTTGGGGGACGGGACTTGAGATGCCAAGCCAAGATAATAAGATTGTAAACTATGAAACGACGTTGGGGAATGGGGTTGCAGAAGAATTATCCCTAGCTCGGGTTAAACAACATGTGTGTTGGTGGGTGTGTGACTTCTACTTCTGGCTGGTTAGTGTCCATAAGGATGTGGATGTCCTTTTTGCTGGGTTTTGCCTTTTTAATGTCATTTCAGCTACTTTACAACGAGATATTTCAGTAAGGTAAACGGGGTGAGACCCGTTTGCAGAGCCGGAAGATTGTGTGTCTCAGACAATTTCAGAAAATGCCAACTCATTACAATTTGGCCCTCGACTCTCGACTCTGCGGCAACTTTCTTTCCTTTTATCCAGCAAAAGTTGTCGCCACTAGAATCTGGCTACGTAATTAATGATATACATATATACACACTCCTCCGGTATCTTATTTCTTCCCCTTAATCTTATTGAACTCGCCTCGGTTTTTGGCTTTTTTATGCTGACGCTAACTCGAAAATAATTTGATATTTTCAATTAAAGTTTTCAATAGCTTTTCAAAATGTTTTCTGGGGGGAAACAAAACAATAATTGCATTGTAATTGGCTTTTGATAGTGTTCATGTTTTGTTGGGGGTAATCGAGTGGTTTTTGGGGGGTAAGGTGAGATAGCCAGGAGGTTTTGCGGTTAAGGATAGGGGTTGGTTGGCAATGAATTTGACTTTCAAATTGTTTCAGGTAAGGTCATGGCTTGAAACAAAGCTTATTTTGTTCAAATAAAATCTTAGTCTATACAATTTCTGAACTGTATATCATTTATTTAAATTCTAAGATAGGTCTATCTTAGGTTTCTACTTTCCCCTACTTCCAAATAATTTCCTTTCATCAAGGTTTCATCATCATTTTCCATTGAAATATTTTGCCATTATTAATTAATTTTTTGATTTTGTCTTTCAATATTGAGTTCTTCTCCTCCCCAAGCTTTTCTCTCATTATAAAAAAATGAGCAATGCCGACAATTTTAATTTACACCCAAACACATAAAACGTCCTGCAGATCCCCTCACACCGCTGGCCCATAAAGCTAAAAATAATTTGCAGCAAACAAAACAGCAAAAAAGGAAAACTTGATTATTTTATAAAAATATTTTGTTACGTTAAAGAAAATTTTCCCCACATTTCCCTGGCTCTTTTTACCTTCCCCATCCCATCCTATAGGTGGCTTTCTTTTATTTCTGTTTCGTTGGTGCTTTGTCGATATTAAACGAAAATAAAATATAAACAACAAAAAATGCGACAAAAAATTGCAAGTTTTTCGTTCCCTGTTGGGAGAATACCTGTACAGGTGCCCAACACCGGGAGCGGGTGGGTCTGTGTGGGGGGAGTTGGGAATTGTTATTGAATGCCATACTCGGGCAGCTCGACAATTTTTTTTCCATTGCATACTTTTAAGCGCAAAATCAGCTTAGGGGCTCATTATCCCAGCGTTCGTTCATTCATTTAATTTTTAATTAATTTTCCCAACGCCCACAAGAATCGAAAAAAAGAAAAACAAATTAATATAAGAAGGAATATGCATATATAAAATGTGAGCTTGGGACGCGTAAAGGGATTTCTGTTGCTGCCATCAACACTCGCTAGCTTTTGGCTATTTGTGGGCTTCTTTGAGACCTCTCGCCCACCGAAAAAACAAAAAAAAAAATTGAAAAGAGGAGAAGAGAAAGGAAAGAAAGTTGCGGAAAAAATGCAAGAAAGTGGCACAAAGGGTTCAGTGGGTTGGTCTCTACTGGAAGGGGGGGTTTTAAGGATGTGGGTGGCTTCTTTGGCGAGCTGCCTTCTTTACTATTTAATTATTTTCGTTGCTCTTTTGAGCATGGCCTTTTGGTTATAACTTGTAAAATACTTATATAATAAAAATAATACACACAGTCCAACAAGGCAAGTATATAATTCAAGACATTTAAATACTCTTGAAGATATTTTTCCAAAATGGTTTGTATAGATCATTAAATAAATATGGACTGCGTTGGTATAAAAATATATTTTATAAATGATGTTTTAGTATTGAATATTATACTAAGATTGTAAAAAGTTTACTTTAAAAAATTCAAACCAATAGTAGATAAATTTCTAAGAATAAGTAAGTTTTCCTTTTTTTTTTTTTAATAAAAACAAAATTTATTTAATAAAATATCATACACCATTTTTTAGGTAGGGATTATGTTTTAATAAATTCATATTAAATACACAAATAAATATTTATTTTTCTGTATATTTGGAAAACCTGTATATTTAATGTATATTTATAAAAAAGTACCAATTTCCAGTTTCATGATTGGTCTTAAATGTCTATTTTTAAAAGAAAGAGTATTTGAAAGAAACAACCTGCTAAAAACAAAAAAAAACAGAACCAGGAAGCGTTAATTGATTTTGTTTTATTCTTTCTCCTAAGCTCGCCACACACTGCCGGAAGAGGCTGGAGTTGGGAATGGGATATTTTTTGGGGAAAGGAGAGGAAAAAAAAAAAAAAAAACTGAAATACAGGACGAAAAAGTAACAACCCTTTGCCAAGTTTTTCATTTCCTTGAACTGAGCTTGCTCGGCTCCTTTTATGCTTAATTAAATATTCATCAAACACACAATGGAAAACTTTTAAATACTCATCAAGTTTGCGGGCATCGTCGTCTTGGGAAACACGAGGAAAATCGTGGGTGGGTTTGAGGAAACTGGAATGGAAGCCTGGGATGTAGATGAAGCCAAGGATGAGCTCTCATACGTTTTCGTCTGGCTCTGTCCGCTCTAATCAATAACAACAAATCGCCGTTTACTTTGTATTTTAAATCTGTTCAACTTGTAGCTATCTCTATCCCACATATGTGCTTTTAGCCCAGGATTCTCAACATATTCCCCTTTGGGACATTAAAAACTCATTTCCCCACCCGTGATGAACCAAATCTAAATCTCAACCCTTTCTCCATCTTCGAGGTAGTATTCTTGTTTTGTTTGTTGTTTCATTATTTCAACATATGCAAAAGTTTGTGTTGTTTCTATTGTACAACCACCATGGAGAATATTCTTTGTGGACCAGATAATAACCAGAACCGGATTCTAAGGTCTACTGTTCACTTGGATAAACTTTAAATAGTTTTCAAGTATGTGCCAATGATTTCTGGGTGGGAATTGGGGTTGATTAGGGAATCGGTGTTATAATACTTTGATTTTTCGTACTTCTAGTATTAAGACTATTTATTAGCTTCTTTAGAATCTATTCTAGTTAGTTTCCTTGTATAAAACTTGCCCCAAATTTATTCCTAATTAATTTCTAGCTTATAAATTCATTATTATTCTCCTCAAGAATCTAGAAACCAAGACAAGTCCCCGTTCAATCGAAAATCCTCATCTCTGGGCTCTTCGGTTCGTTTCGCTTCGGTTTGGTTTGGTTCGCCCGATTTAATTGATTTCCGTGGCTCTGTGACAGCTCGAGCCAATCGACAGCTTTTGGTAATTGCAAGCCGAATAACCCCTTTTTGTTTTTGGCCTTTTGACGTTCGCATTTTGCCAGAAAGAGTCTGCGACAAATGCAATTAACCAGCCGTAACGCCCACACACATTAAGCCAGAAACAGAAACCCGGACGGAGGAGGGCTTTTGATGTCACTTTTGGCAAATGAATTTATATGGATGTGCCGGGTGCCGAGTGCTGTGAGCTTTGCCAGAATTCAGAATGTAGAGTATGGAACGGAGGTGGATGGATGGTTATGAATCGCTGGGACATCAAACGTGCGTTGTGCTCATATGTGAAATATTCGAAATATCATGAGTTTGGCTTTCACATCTCTGGGCCTGGCAGCAATTACACAAATGTAATTTGCAGCTAAATGGAATGTTTTTAATGAATTTATATACCCTGACTGACAGCCAAGGCAGTCCAGGGAGCTCTGTCATTCCCAAGAACCAAATGAAATTACCAACTTCTATTTCTAGAATCTAGATTCTAGGATACATGCTCCATGATTAGAATTGGATTAGGCCCAAAATAGAGTTATTGGTCTTTCACTATTTTTAATCACACTTGGGATAGGTCATTGAACCATTATTTAGTATTATTTTAAGGTGAATGTTCTCCAAAAATATTTCATTCCTACATTTTGGGGACTCAACCTTAATGTTGGGGAGTATTCTTATACAATTTTTTGAGCGCTATCTTTATACATATATTATTGTCCAATTGGAGGCTGGTACACTGTTCATGAAAATTATGGTAATACGGCGAGGAATTCACTTCCAGGGGTTTGCTCAAGTTCAATTGCGATTTACATGTCAATAGAATGTTACGTATTCTTCAAGTCGTATTTGTATAAAGGAAGCATTAGCTAAGCTCTATTGACCTAGAACTTGAGCTTTCGATGTTCGATTTTAAAAGATAAACTTGAACATTGTTTATTTCAAAATTGTTGTTTAAGAAACCGTAAAAAAATAATGCTTTGAAGGTCTTATACCTTTTTTTTACTTTGCTTATAAGATAAAAACAATTTTTGTTTGCAAGTGTAGTTGAGCGATAATGCTCTAGCTCTCCACACTCACTCACTTGCACTGGAACCGATAAAATTTTTTAAGCTTTAAAAATAAGTAATACAAAAATTACCCCGGCGTCATAAGCTGGAGAGTGAGAACAAAAAAAATTTGTGACGACATCACAGATGTAGCAGCGTATATAAAGCTACGGATCGGTTGGAACCGCCGATCAGTCGCCGCCATGAATCAGGCCTCACTCTATCAGAACGCCAACCAGGTGCAGAGACACGATGCCAAACTGATTCTGGATGAATTCGCATCGACGCTGCAGTGGAGGTCCGACGGAGAGGACGCCCTCCTGGATGTCGGCTCAGGATCTGGAAACGTGCTGATGGACTTTGTGAAGCCCCTCCTGCCGATTGGCGGCCAACTGGTCGGCACCGACATATCCAGTCAAATGGTGGGATTCGCCAGCAAACACTATCAGGGCGAAGAGCGGACCAGGTTTCAAGTGCTGGACATAGGATGCGACAAGTTACCACAGGAGCTAAGGGGTAGCTTCGATCACGTAACCTCATTCTATTGCCTCCACTGGGTGCAGAATCTAAAGGGAGCCATGACCAACATCTACAACCTGCTCAGACCCGAGGGAGGAGACTGTCTGCTCGCCTTTCTAGCTTCCAATCCCGTCTACGAAGTGTACAAAATCTTGAAACTGAATGATAAGTGGTCGGAGTATATGCAGGACGTGGAGCAGTTCATCTCTCCACTCCACTACAGCCGAAATCCTGGCGAGGAATTCAGTCAGTTACTCAGTGATGTGGGTTTCATTCAGCACAATGTGGAAATACGAAATGAAGTGTTTGTTTACGAAGGAGTCAGGACTCTAAAAGGTGAGTAACTTGCTCCTAAAATATGTTCTTCGTTAATAGCTAATATTTTTCAGATAATGTCAAGGCCATCTGCCCTTTTTTGGAACGTATGCCTCCTAGTTTACATGAAGATTTCCTCAACGACTTTGTCAAAATTGTAATATCCATGAACTTGCAACAAGGCGATGACAATCAGGATCAAAAGTTTATATCACCTTATAAGTTGGTGGTGGCCTATGCCCGCAAGACTCCTAATATTGTGAACCAGTTTTTGGATGATAAATCAAATCATGTTACTTTTAAGGGAATTAATTAGAGCCTAATATTTTAAGTACAAGAAAAGGGTATTTAATTATTTTTGCAAAGAGTCTATATTATTTCTACTTAAATAGTGTTCCTGACCCTAGCCATTAATAAAAAGGGAAATCTTTATAATTTAAAGATAGGCATAGTACATAACTTTAAAATACTAAGGGCATACATATTTTCCGCTATGCATTACAATCTGGTCAGATATTTAAACAATAAACCTTGTTACAAAAGTTGGCGCAACTTGAGATTAGAATATCTAATCAAAAATTCTATTTGATATAACATTTATAGAGAGGCTTAGGCATTGTAATTGCTGGTTTTGACAGAACCAATTACAAGTATAGCAGCCACTCTCGCCGACTCTCACTCTCGTACTCCCATTCAATTTAATCTATATGGTATACTATATAGTAGTTATAGTCAGTAAGGGGTTAACTTGTACTCTCGCTGAAAGTTTCCATCTGGCCGAAAGCTTAGCGGCGAAAACCGCGTGGTTTCCCCTCGATTTTGATGAATCAAACTTAACATCCGACGGAATGCCACCCGTGGATATCCGATTTAAGGGATGGGGTTTCAATCCTTAAAAGGGTTGAAAATTTGTGCGATTTCGGATCTTAGAACAATTTTAATTGTTTTTCCAGCCATTTTTTCCGCCGATTTGTGTATGTTAGAGGTTTCTGTGGAATTTTCAAAATGAGTTATTAACGCGATGTCTACAGAATTTTGGGGCCAACAAATGCGCATTCATGTCATTTATCAGTTGGGCTGCGTTGGGGGGGAGTTTCGGCTTAGTCCTTCGAAAGGGAAGGCGTGAGCTTCTCTAGCTTCCAGGCAATTGGCAGTTCATTCCCGGAACTCTCCCTTTTCCCGCTGGTGGCTTAAAAGTAGTAAATGTTTGTCTTAATCTTTGATTTTTGTTTTCGTTTGCATTTATATCCGACTTACCCTTGATGGATCCCTTCGTCTCAGTCTCAGTCTCAGTCCCAGGACTTTACTTTGTTTCTGGCAAATGTAAACGACAGGAATTAATTTAGATAAATGATTTCTCAAGTGCGCTGGCTGAGTTTCCGACGATTTGCCGCCTGTCAGTCAAATGGATTTCTCATCTACCCCCCAGCCCTGTTTCTTGGCTTGGCTTTGGGGCGTGGCATTACGTTCCTCCTGGCCCTCTATCAAGCCTCCAAGATACCAAGAACTTATAGCAACCCGTCTCAAAATTGTTTTCGCAAACAAATTTTCGTATTGAAATTTGATTTATTTGTTAATTTGTTTGTAATGAATTTTCCGTTTGCTTGGTTGCCTGCCCTAGAGCTCCAGGAATCGGCTATTGGGGGGATGGGATGGGAGGTTGGTCCTTAATTGCCTGTGCCTGGCATTTGCTTTTCCTTCTCTGCCTCATTTGTTTAGCTAATTTTCTCGAGACTTGAAAGTCTCTTTTGGTCTGAAGGTTGGGGGACATTTTTGTGCTTTGGTTTGGAAAAAAGAATTGGAAATATTTTTAATTCCAACTTTAAAAAAATTGTGAAAGAATTCAATCCCCTATTGAAATTGATTACTAATCTTATTTGGTTTTAAATGATTCAATGTTGATTTCTGTCTTTGTTAAAAAAATTCTTTGATAAGTTAAAATTTATAATTGTTAAATAAATATTTTACAATGCTTTGTTTTTTGGAATAATCTTATCTTTTACTTTTTCTAAGAAAATTACAAAAATCAAAGCTGAATCACAAAGAAATGACTAAAGTTTATTCAGTCTTTTTAGATCCTAACTTTTCTAATCAAAAATGTAAAATACTTTATTATATCACCTCTCTAGTTAGCCAACCACTCTTATATCTTGAATATTTCGTAATTTTTTTATATTTTGCTGACCCAGCAATTGTTTTTGCTGACCCACCCGACTCCGGCCATTTGATTCCGGAGGCGTAACCGCAAAGATAAACACCGGATAACGGAACTGAATGTCGTGTATGGGTTTTTTTGTTGTTATTGTTACGGGGGCGTGTGCATTTGGTCAAAGTTCAAACAAATGCGTCGCCATCGAAATGAAATGTTGGGATTTTCAGGTGGACTTTCCACCATAATTTCTCCCTCTGGCGGGCGACTGACCATTCTGTTTGAGTTTACTTAGCGGTTTTGTTGACTTTCGGGCGTTTTTGGTGGCGTTTTGATTGCGTTTTCCATATGCAAATGTGAAAAGGAAAGCTCCAAAATCGAGGCTTGCCCGAGTCTATCTATTTAATGGCCACCAAAACGCAATTACACTCACATAAAATAACAAAAAGAGCAGACACCAGTGGTTTGGGGGTGAAGAAGATGGCGAAAAATATGCCTCATTATAACAAATTATAGAAGGAATATTGTAATTTACATTTTGACTCGGTATCATTTGCGGCTTTTTATTAAAAATTCAACACTAACGAGGCTCTTTTGTTTTTATACCAGAAGCAGTTTTCTGCTATCTCTGTCTCTCTCTATGTATGTGTGTCCTTTATGTCCCTCTCTTTCCAGCCAACTCCTGCCATCTTCCTTTGGCTACGGTCCTTTGCGTTGCAAATAAGAATTTTAATAAATTATATTGTAATATGACAAAACGGTTTCGTAGTCTGTCAGCCACTGGCGTAGCTGGTTTTCAGTTTCAAAAGGGGTTAGTTTTAAATTAAATAATAAACTCCTTACGAAATATATTATTCAAAGGTATAATAGATTGTAGACCTAACCTTATAAATAACTTTGAAAAAAGGATATCCAAAGAATACAATTCTTGTATGCAGTCCTTCTGAAACTCATGAATTTTTCAATAACAAAATATTACTTTTCTAAAAAAAATTCTATACAAAAAAATTTGTAGAAAAATGTCTCGAAAAATGTTTGTTAGCCAACTTGCAGCTAATTATGGGCATCAGGGGAAGTTACTGGGATCTGGAAACCCTTTGGGATGTCGAGTTAGCCCATGTTTAATCCTTTTTTTATTTTTTTTTTCGTTGGAGTGGAGTGTTTCCGTACTTCATTACGTTTGGCTTCAGCTTTGGTTTATTTTAATTTCATTTTATGATTTAACTTTACACCTGCTTGAAAAACGACACACACCCATACTATGGGCTGTACTTCAATTAAAAACCGGAGTCCTGGCCAAGGCACTTAAGTGCTTTTTACTCCTTTACCCCGATCCTGGGGTTTGGTGTGAGAATATTTCTTTTGCCCAAATTATTTCAACATTTTCCACTTCAGAGGGTTTGAGGGAAGTAGCCCCCCAAAAAAAAGGGACAACAGTAATATGAAGAGTTCTCTCAGAAGAGTTTCTGGCATGTCGGGTCAAGGGTTTCCAATGGGTTTGGGTTCAGGTTTATTCTCGGTACGAGGAGGGATACGCAGTAGTCAACGTCCAACACTTCGTGGGCCAAATCTTCGTGTAATCGGATAAGGTAATTGGAGGCTTTGTCTAGACATTAAGTGTACATAGTAAATTTTGTTTTCCCCAGTTTTGTCCGAAAGATGACTGAAAAGGTTATAGAAACAAATTTTGAACAGTGGGTCGGAAGATGGAAATAATTTGAGCTTTTGGAAGTTTTCAGAGGTTGACAGGAATGTTAATGTGAGAAAGTAAGCGAGTCTTCGTCTTCTAAGATAAGTTTTATTATTTATTTGATAAACTATTAATAATTTCCCACCGTATCACCTTCATACCATCAATCAGAAATTGCCTTCGCCTTGGAAACCTTTCCGCTGAACGGAAACAAAAGTTTTGTGCGGCAACACATGTTCCTTTCCGTTGTTGGCAACAAAGTCTTCCCTTTTGGGACAATCACATGAAGGAACAACTGCGACGGCTCTTAATAAATCGATTTAAATTTCTGATCATATTTTCATCTCTGGAGAAATTTAATAGTTTTTCGCAATAACATTTTATGTGCGGACACATACACAGGATCTCCAGCATCATCCACTCGCCAATGGGGAGTAGAGCAGCGCTGGGAGAGAAACCTAGAGAAAACTATCCAACTAAAATAATAAGAGTGGCAACAAACTTGGGGCCCAGCACGTTGGGCCAAGTCCAAACAAAGAAACTGTAAACTTTACGGGTCACACGATGTGCCAGGAGCTCTACGGGATTCCCCTTTACTCTCTTGCTGTGCCCCATTCTCTTTTGGCCCTCTCCTTTTTGGCCAGGACAACGTCGTCGTCGTCATCGTCGTCTAGGCAGCTTCCTGTGCATGGCAATAAAATTACTTTAGCCCATAAGTATGCTACAATTTTACGTACGAGCTCCCAGCTTTTGGTCGCAAGTGCAGCAAATAGTTTTGCGCCACGCCCCCCCTTTGGACACAGAACGCCCATTTCTCCCCCTAGTTACCCCATCCTTCCCCTGCCCCCGCACCCAGACACACATCATAATTAATGCAAAGCTGGCAAATGTATGCAACACCTGCGGTTTGTTTAAAACGACCGCAAGCATTCCCCCACTATAGAGTCCTTCCTCCAGCTCGTTTGCCAGACAATTTTGGTTATTGAAATTATTCGTCCAAGTCGCTGACATTTTATGTTTATTTAATTGCTGCCCAGAGCTAAGGGAATTTTCTTTTATTAGTTATATAAGCAATAAATAAAATATTCCTCCATTTATATTTTATTTAATTGAAAGTCTGCAACCTTTTTTCCATTTTCGGTCTAATCGAATTCCAATTTCATTTCAATCATTTTCAATACGCTTCGCTTTTCGATTTTAATGCCGAAGGGTCATTGAAATTGGTTTTTACATTTGCCCTGGCCTATTCCAATGCTTGCGGTCAAGTGACCAGGACCTAGGACGAGAAACCCCTCGGAAAAAACCCTCATATCGAAAGACCTCGACCTTTAATCGGCAGCCGTTGACATGAGGACGACACAAGTTGTTTGCGGTTAAGTTTTTCTGTCGCATCATGCGGCGAGGTGGCTGCCTATAATTAAATAGTTTTCTCTTGCATTTACCATTTTCTAAATGATGATATATTTTTTTTAATTTACCATCTCTGTTCTGTACTGCTGTTATCCGCTAATTGTAGGCCTTTTGTTTTTAGCTGACATGCAAATGAGTTGCTTGTTTTTAGGCATTCAGTTGTTGACCTCAACATGTCAATTAATTTGCTTCAGATGTGTGCTGATCACAGAAGAATAACCCCCTGAATGGGACTTAATAAATGAAAGACTTTTAAATGACATGATATGTGTCCTTTGCTTTCGTAAGATAGTGAATAATCAACTAACGAGCTAGCAGTTCACTTTAATAAAGTCCTTAGATATACATTTTTTCGCAGTCCCCTTTCTAACTTTAATTTAATAAAAAGTAACTTTATGAAAGAGTACCCATGCCACGCCAATATCATCAGTAGGGCAGCAAATGAAACCCGACATCGATTTTGTTCTCGAGTTACACTCGCTTTTGTTTACACAAAAATTATGTTTAATGAGCAGCAACCCCGAACTTCACGGACACATCTTTCGGGTATTTTCTGGGGTTGGCACAACTGACAATTATAATTACAAGGTCTTAAGTTTTTCGTGAAAATTATTATTTTAATTACGGTTTGCAGAGTGGCGAGGGTGGAAAATCGAGGACGAAACGAAAAAGCAGGGCACAGACGAAGCTCTAAGAAATTCGATACATTTATGACATTGCGACAGATCATAAATTCAGCGATTTGAGTGATGTGTTTGTCGGACAATAAACTAAACGAAATACTCCGGTTTATGTGACTGTCTCTCTGGTGTATTAACACCAGAAATGGAATGCTGGAGCTCACAAAAAAAAAAAAAATGTTCTAATCAAGTAACATAATCAGTTTTTATGGGTACCAAGGCAATCATAACTTTTGCTCATATACCCATACGAGTTGTATCGAGTTGAGTTTTATTTTCGCACGTTGATAATTTTTATTTCCTGCTGCTCCGCAAGATAACTTTGGTATGCGTATGTCCAGTGCAAATAAAATACATTTTTGTTGCGCTTTTATTTCCCATCACTTTCACTGCCAAGAAGTCGCTCTTGCCATCGCAGTGGTGGCGACATCCCCCTTCGTAATAATCATTTATTTAATGTGCCCAAACATTTATTATTTCCGCTGACCTATCCCGCTTGCTAAGTCCTGTCCTTTTTCCGTCTTTGTGTGTATGTGTGTGTCTGTGCTTGGGGAGTCCTTGGAATGGTCAAAGTTAGATTGGACACTTGCGCAATTTTCTTCTAATGAATCTAATTGAGTCTAACAAGTGGCCGGCAACATCATGTTAATGCTAATGTTGTCGCCCCAGTCTCGGTGACCTTCATGCTGTCTGGTTCTTTAAGAAAGGGCCTAATAATGTTGGTTATATTTTGGTAGAAGAGAGGGTATATTGGATAAACCTTTAAGGGTTTTACCAATTTTAATAATAATTATTTTGTGATTTTTAAAATAAAACTCATAATGATTGCGGTCGCTGTTCAAAATACATTTAATAATTAGGATCAAATATTAATTTATACGATCAACTATTAAAGACTTTAAAGGAGTAAAAGAAAAAGATCTGAAGGCATTTCTTCTGACGATTAAGATCATATTTATATTTAATATATATGCAATTCTTTTTATTTCTATTGTATTTAAATTTCAGAACGAAATGGCTATGGAAAATAATTTAGTATTAGAGTTTACAAACTATTTTCCAAAAAGGTTTCCAAAAAAAGGAGGTGGAGGTAGAGGAGGTGGAAACGGTAGGATAGCAACAACAGCTGCATCGGCATTTGGTAAGTTAATAGAAGGAAGAGGAGGAAGAGTAGGAAGTGTAGGAAGAGGTGGAAGAGTAGGAAGGGCCGGAAGAGCTGGAAGAGGCGGAAGGGGTAAAAGGGGCGGTGGTGCGAATGGGAAGCCTGGTCGATTGTAGTGGTGATGGTAGTGATGATGATGATGCTGTCCATTCGTAGTACTAGTAGTGGATGTTGTTACTTTTTCCGTGGTTGATGTGGGAATAGCTGTGGATGTTGTTCCCGTGGATGAAGTTGGAATTGCGGTGGATGTGGTTCCCGTGGTTGAAGTGGGAATAGCTGTGGATGTTGTTGCCGTGGTTGAAGTGTGAGTAGCTGTGGATGTTGTTCCCGTGGTTGAAGTTGGAATAGCTGTGGATGTTGTTCCCGTGGTTGAAGTGGGAATAGCTGTGGATGTGGTTCCAGTGGTTGAAGTGGGAATAGCTGTGGATGTTGTTCCCGTGGTTGAAGTGGGAATAGCAGTGGATGTCGTTCCCGTGGTTGAAGTTGGAATAGCAGTGGATGTGGTTCCCGTGGTTGAAGTGGGAATAGCAGTGGATGTCGTTCCCGTGGTTGAAGTGGGAATAGCAGTGGATGTTGTTCCCGTGGTTGAAGTTGGAATAGCGGTGGATGTGGTTCCCGTGGTTGAAGTGGGAATAGCTGTGGATGTTGTTCCCGTGGTTGAAGTGGGAATAGCAGTGGATGTTGTTCCCGTGGTTGAAGTTGGAATAGCGGTGGATGTGGTTCCCGTGGTTGAAGTGGGAATAGCTGTGGATGTTGTTCCCGTGGTTGAAGTGGGAATAGCAGTGGATGTTGTTCCCGTGGTTGAAGTTGGAATAGCAGTGGATGTGGTTCCCGTGGTTGAAGTGGGAATAGCAGTGGATGTCGTTCCCGTGGTTGAAGTGGGAATAGCAGTGGATGTTGTTACCGTGGTTGAAGTTGGAATAGCGGTGGATGTGGTTCCCGTGGTTGAAGTGGGAATAGCTGTGGATGTTGTTCCCGTGGTTGAAGTGGGAATAGCTGTGGATGTTGTTCCCGTGGTTGAAGTGGGAATAGCAGTGGATGTTGTTCCCGTGGTTGAAGTTGGAATAGCAGTGGATGTGGTTCCCGTGGTTGAAGTGGGAATAGCAGTGGATGTCGTTCCCGTGGTTGAAGTGGGAATAGCAGTGGATGTTGTTCCCGTGGTTGAAGTTGGAATAGCGGTGGATGTGGTTCCCGTGGTTGAAGTGGGAATAGCTGTGGATGTCGTTCCCGTGGTTGAAGTGGGAATAGCAGTGGATGTTGTTCCCGTGGTTGAAGTTGGAATAGCGGTGGATGTGGTTCCCGTGGTTGAAGTGGGAATAGCTGTGGATGTTGTTCCCGTGGTTGAAGTGGGAATAGCTGTGGATGTTGTTGCTTCTGCAGTAGTTGTGGTAGCTGCGGTGGTTGTTGTTGTGGGGACAGCTGTGGATGTTGTTGCTTCTGTAGTAGATGTGGCAGCTGCGGTGGTTGACGTGGGAATAGCAGTGGATGTAGTTGTGGATGTTGTCGTACTTGATGTGGGCAGAGCTGTGGAGGTTGTGTCTGATCCGGAAGTTGTGGAAGTTGCCGTGGTACTTGTTGGACTAGCTGTCGATGTAGTTGTGGATGTTGTCGTACTTGATGTGGGCAGAGCTGTGGAGGTTGTGTCTGATCCGGAAGTTGTGGAAGTTGCCGTGGTACTTGTTGGACTAGCAGTCGATGTAGATGTGGATGTTGTCGTACTTGATGTGGGCAGAGCTGTGGAGGTTGTGTCTGATCCGGAAGTTGTGGAAGTTGCCGTGGTACTTGTTGGACTAGCAGTCGATGTAGATGTGGATGTTGTCGTACTTGATGTGGGCAGAGCTGTGGAGGTTGTGTCTGATCCGGAAGTTGTGGAAGTTGCCGTGGTACTTGTTGGACTAGCAGTCGATGTAGATGTGGATGTTGTCGTACTTGATGTGGGCAGAGCTGTGGAGGTTGTGTCTGATCCGGAAGTTGTGGAAGTTGCCGTGGTTCTTGTTGGACTAGCAGTCGATGTAGATGTGGGTGTTGTCGTACTTGATGTGGGCAGAGCTGTGGAGGTTGTGTCTGATCCGGAAGTTGTGGAAGTTGCCGTGGTACTTGTTGGACTAGCAGTCGATGTAGATGTGGATGTTGTCGTACTTGATGTGAGCAGAGCTGTGGAGGTTGTGTCTGATCCGGAAGTTGTGGAAGTTGCCGTGGTACTTGTTGGACTAGCAGTCGATGTAGATGTGGATGTTGTCGTACTTGATGTGGGCAGAGCTGTGGAGGTTGTGTCTTCTCCGGAAGTTGTGGAAGTTGCCGTGGTACTTGTTGGACTAGCAGTCGATGTAGTTGTGGATGGTTTCGTACTTGATGTGGGCAGAGCTGTGGAGGTTGTGTCTGATCCGGAAGTTGTGGAAGTTGCCGTGGTACTTGTTGGACTAGCAGTCGATGTAGATGTGGATGTTGTCGTACTTGATGTGGGCAGAGCTGTGGAGGTTGTGTCTTCTCCGGAAGTTGTGGAAGTTGCCGTGGTACTTGTTGGACTAGCAGTCGATGTAGTTGTGGATGGTTTCGTACTTGATGTGGGCAGAGCTGTGGAGGTTGTGTCTGATCCGGAAGTTGTGGAAGTTGCCGTGGTACTTGTTGGACTAGCAGTCGATGTAGATGTGGATGTTGTCGTACTTGATGTGGGCAGAGCTGTGGAGGTTGTGTCTGATCCGGAAGTTGTGGAAGTTGCCGTGGTACTTGTTGGACTAGCAGTCGATGTAGATGTGGATGTTGTCGTACTTGATGTGGGCAGAGCTGTGGAGGTTGTGTCTGATCCGGAAGTTGTGGAAGTTGCCGTGGTACTTGTTGGACTAGCAGTCGATGTAGATGTGGATGTTGTCGTACTTGATGTGGGCAGAGCTGTGGAGGTTGTGTCTTCTCCGGAAGTTGTGGAAGTTGCCGTGGTACTTGTTGGACTAGCAGTCGATGTAGTTGTGGATGGTTTCGTACTTGATGTGGGCAGAGCTGTGGAGGTTGTGTCTGATCCGGAAGTTGTGGAAGTTGCCGTGGTACTTGTTGGACTAGCAGTCGATGTAGATGTGGATGTTGTCGTACTTGATGTGGGCAGAGCTGTGGAGGTTGTGTCTGATCCGGAAGTTGTGGAAGTTGCCGTGGTACTTGTTGGACTAGCAGTCGATGTAGATGTGGATGTTGTCGTACTTGATGTGGGCAGAGCTGTGGAGGTTGTGTCTGATCCGGAAGTTGTGGAAGTTGCCGTGGTACTTGTTGGACTAGCTGTCGATGTAGTTGTGGATGTTGTCGTACTTGATGTGGGCAGAGCTGTGGAGGTTGTGTCTGATCCGGAAGTTGTGGAAGTTGCCGTGGTACTTGTTGGACTAGCAGTCGATGTAGATGTGGATGTTGTCGTACTTGATGTGGGCAGAGCTGTGGAGGTTGTGTCTTCTCCGGAAGTTGTGGAAGTTGCCGTGGTACTTGTTGGACTAGCTGTCGATGTAGATGTGGATGTTGTCGTACTTGATGTGGGCAGAGCTGTGGGGGTTGTGTCTGATCCGGAAGTTGTGGAAGTTGCCGTGGTACTTGTTGGACTAGCAGTCGATGTAGATGTGGATGTTGTCGTACTTGATGTGGGCAGAGCTGTGGAGGTTGTGTCTTCTCCGGAAGTTGTGGAAGTTGCCGTGGTACTTGTTGGACTAGCTGTCGATGTAGATGTGGATGTTGTCGTACTTGATGTGGGCAGAGCTGTGGAGGTTGTGTCTGATCCGGAAGTTGTGGAAGTTGCCGTGGTACTTGTTGGACTAGCAGTCGATGTAGATGTGGATGTTGTCGTACTTGATGTGGGCAGAGCTGTGGAGGTTGTGTCTTCTCCGGAAGTTGTGGAAGTTGCCGTGGTACTTGTTGGACTAGCTGTCGATGTAGATGTGGATGTTGTCGTACTTGATGTGGGCAGAGCTGTGGAGGTTGTGTCTGATCCGGAAGTTGTGGAAGTTGCCGTGGTACTTGTTGGACTAGCTGTCGATGTAGATGTGGATATTGTCGTACTTGATGTGGGCAGAGCTGTGGAGGTTGTGTCTGATCCGGAAGTTGTGGAAGTTGCCGTGGTACTTGTTGGACTAGCAGTCGATGTAGATGTGGATGTTGTCGTACTTGATGTGGGCAGAGCTGTGGAGGTTGTGTCTGATCCGGAAGTTGTGGAAGTTGCCGTGGTACTTGTTGGACTAGCTGTCGATGTAGATGTGGATATTGTCGTACTTGATGTGGGCAGAGCTGTGGAGGTTGTGTCTGATCCGGAAGTTGTGGAAGTTGCCGTGGTACTTGTTGGACTAGCAGTCGATGTAGATGTGGATGTTGTCGTACTTGATGTGGGCAGAGCTGTGGAGGTTGTGTCTGATCCGGAAGTTGTGGAAGTTGCCGTGGTACTTGTTGGACTAGCTGTCGATGTAGATGTGGATATTGTCGTACTTGATGTGGGCAGAGCTGTGGAGGTTGTGTCTGATCCGGAAGTTGTGGAAGTTGCCGTGGTACTTGTTGGACTAGCAGTCGATGTAGATGTGGATGTTGTCGTACTTGATGTGGGCAGAGCTGTGGAGGTTGTGTCTGATCCGGAAGTTGTGGAAGTTGCCGTGGTACTTGTTGGACTAGCTGTCGATGTAGATGTGGATATTGTCGTACTTGAGGTGGGCAGAGCTGTGGAGGTTGTGTCTGATCCGGAAGTTGTGGAAGTTGCCGTGGTACTTGTTGGACTAGCAGTCGATGTAGATGTGGATGTTGTCGTACTTGATGTGGGCAGAGCTGTGGAGGTTGTGTCTGATCCGGAAGTTGTGGAAGTTGCCGTGGTACTTGTTGGACTAGCAGTCGATGTAGATGTGGATGTTGTCGTACTTGATGTGGGCAGAGCTGTGGAGGTTGTGTCTTCTCCGGAAGTTGTGGAAGTTGCCGTGGTACTTGTTGGACTAGCTGTCGATGTAGATGTGGATGTTGTCGTACTTGATGTGGGCAGAGCTGTGGAGGTTGTGTCTGATCCGGAAGTTGTGGAAGTTGCCGTGGTACTTGTTGGACTAGCTGTCGATGTAGATGTGGATGTTGTCGTACTTGATGTGGGCAGAGCTGTGGAGGTTGTGTCTGATCCGGAAGTTGTGGAAGTTGCCGTGGTACTTGTTGGACTAGCAGTCGATGTAGATGTGGATGTTGTCGTACTTGATGTGGGCAGAGCTGTGGAGGTTGTGTCTGATCCGGAAGTTGTGGAAGTTGCCGTGGTACTTGTTGGACTAGCAGTCGATGTAGATGTGGATGTTGTCGTACTTGATGTGGGCAGAGCTGTGGAGGTTGTGTCTGATCCGGAAGTTGTGGAAGTTGCCGTGGTACTTGTCGGACCAGCTGTCGATGTAGATGTGGATGTTGTCGTACTTGATGTGGGCAGAGCTGTGGAGGTTGTGTCTTCTCCGGAAGTTGTGGAAGTTGCCGTGGTACTTGTTGGACTAGCTGTCGATGTAGATGTGGATGTTGTCGTACTTGATGTGGGCAGAGCTGTGGAGGTTGTGTCTGATCCGGAAGTTGTGGAAGTTGCCGTGGTACTTGTTGGACTAGCAGTCGATGTAGATGTGGATGTTGTCGTACTTGATGTGGGCAGAGCTGTGGAGGTTGTGTCTGATCCGGAAGTTGTGGAAGTTGCCGTGGTACTTGTTGGACTAGCAGTCGATGTAGATGTGGATGTTGTCGTACTTGATGTGGGAAGAGCTGTGGAGGTTGTGTCTGATCCGGAAGTTGTGGAAGTTGCCGTGGTACTTGTTGGACTAGCTGTCGAGGTAGTCGTGGATGTTGTCGTACTTGATGTGGGCAGAGCTGTGGAGGTTGTGTCTGATCCGGAAGTTGTGGAAGTTGCCGTGGTACTTGTTGGACTAGCAGTCGATGTAGATGTGGATGTTGTCGTACTTGATGTGGGCAGAGCTGTGGAGGTTGTGTCTGATCCGGAAGTTGTGGAAGTTGCCGTGGTACTTGTCGGACTAGCTGTCGATGTAGATGTGGATGTTGTCGTACTTGATGTGGGCAGAGCTGTGGAGGTTGTGTCTGATCCGGAAGTTGTGGAAGTTGCCGTGGTACTTGTTGGACTAGCAGTCGATGTAGATGTGGATGTTGTCGTACTTGATGTGGGCAGAGCTGTGGAGGTTGTGTCTGATCCGGAAGTTGTGGAAGTTGCCGTGGTACTTGTCGGACTAGCTGTCGATGTAGATGTGGATGTTGTCGTACTTGATGTGGGCAGAGCTGTGGAGGTTGTGTCTGATCCGGAAGTTGTGGAAGTTGCCGTGGTACTTGTTGGACTAGCAGTCGATGTAGATGTGGATGTTGTCGTACTTGATGTGGGCAGAGCTGTGGAGGTTGTGTCTGATCCGGAAGTTGTGGAAGTTGCCGTGGTACTTGTTGGACTAGCAGTCGATGTAGATGTGGATGTTGTCGTACTTGATGTGGGCAGAGCTGTGGAGGTTGTGTCTGATCCGGAAGTTGTGGAAGTTGCCGTGGTACTGGTTGGACTAGCAGTCGATGTAGATGTGGATGTTGTCGTACTTGATGTGGGCAGAGCTGTGGAGGTTGTGTCTGATCCGGAAGTTGTGGAAGTTGCCGTGGTACTTGTTGGACTAGCAGTCGATGTAGATGTGGATGTTGTCGTACTTGATGTGGGCAGAGCTGTGGAGGTTGTGTCTGATCCGGAAGTTGTGGAAGTTGCCGTGGTACTTGTTGGACTAGCAGTCGATGTAGATGTGGATGTTGTCGTACTTGATGTGGGCAGAGCTGTGGAGGTTGTGTCTGATCCGGAAGTTGTGGAAGTTGCCGTGGTACTTGTTGGACTAGCTGTCGAGGTAGTCGTGGATGTTGTCGTACTTGATGTGGGCAGAGCTGTGGAGGTTGTGTCTTCTCCGGAAGTTGTGGAAGTTGCCGTGGTACTTGTTGGACTAGCAGTCGATGTAGATGTGGATGTTGTCGTACTTGATGTGGGCAGAGCTGTGGAGGTTGTGTCTGATCCGGAAGTTGTGGAAGTTGCCGTGGTACTTGTCGGACTAGCTGTCGATGTAGATGTGGATGTTGTCGTACTTGATGTGGGCAGAGCTGTGGAGGTTGTGTCTGATCCGGAAGTTGTGGAAGTTGCCGTGGTACTTGTTGGACTAGCAGTCGATGTAGATGTGGATGTTGTCGTACTTGATGTGGGCAGAGCTGTGGAGGTTGTGTCTGATCCGGAAGTTGTGGAAGTTGCCGTGGTACTTGTTGGACTAGCAGTCGATGTAGATGTGGATGTTGTCGTACTTGATGTGGGCAGAGCTGTGGAGGTTGTGTCTGATCCGGAAGTTGTGGAAGTTGCCGTGGTACTGGTTGGACTAGCTGTCGATGTAGATGTGGATGTTGTCGTACTTGATGAGGGAAGAGCTGTGGAGGTTGTGTCTTCTCCGGAAGTTGTGGAAGTTGCCGTGGTACTTGTTGGACTAGCTGTCGATGTGGATGTTGTCGTACTTGACGTGGGCAGAGCTGTGGAGGTTGTGTCTGATCCGGAAGTTGTGGAAGTTGCCGTGGTACTTGTTGGACTAGCTGTCGATGTAGATGTGGATGTTGTCGTACTTGATGTGGGAAGAGCTGTGGAGGTTGTGTCTGCTCCCGAAGTTGTGGAAGTTGCCGTGGTACTTGTCGGACTAGCTGTCGATGTAGATGTGGATGTTGTCGTACTTGATGTGGGCAGAGCTGTGGAGGTTGTGTCTGATCCGGAAGTTGTGGAAGTTGCCGTGGTACTTGTTGGACTAGCTGTCGAGGTAGTCGTGGATGTTGTCGTACTTGATGTGGGCAGAGCTGTGGGGGTTGTGTCTTCTCCGGAAGTTGTGGAAGTTGCCGTGGTACTTGTTGGACTAGCAGTCGATGTAGATGTGGATGTTGTCGTACTTGATGTGGGCAGAGCTGTGGAGGTTGTGTCTGATCCGGAAGTTGTGGAAGTTGCCGTGGTACTTGTCGGACTAGCTGTCGATGTAGATGTGGATGTTGTCGTACTTGATGTGGGCAGAGCTGTGGAGGTTGTGTCTTCTCCGGAAGTTGTGGAAGTTGCCGTGGTACTTGTTGGACTAGCAGTCGATGTAGATGTGGATGTTGTCGTACTTGATGTGGGCAGAGCTGTGGAGGTTGTGTCTGATCCGGAAGTTGTGGAAGTTGCCGTGGTACTGGTTGGACTAGCTGTCGATGTAGATGTGGATGTTGTCGTACTTGATGAGGGAAGAGCTGTGGAGGTTGTGTCTTCTCCGGAAGTTGTGGAAGTTGCCGTGGTACTTGTTGGACTAGCTGTCGATGTGGATGTTGTCGTACTTGACGTGGGCAGAGCTGTGGAGGTTGTGTCTGATCCGGAAGTTGTGGAAGTTGCCGTGGTACTTGTTGGACTAGCTGTCGATGTAGATGTTACTTCAGTGGTTGTGGAACTTTCCGTGGTTGATGTGGGAAGGGCTGTGGAGGTGGTTTCTTCTCCAGTAGTTGTGGAAGTTTCCGTTGTCGATGTAGGAGTAGCTGTGGAGGTGGTTACTTCTCCAGAAGTTGTCGAAGTGCCTGTGGGAAGAGCTGTGGATGTTGTTAGTTCTTCGGAAGTTTTAGAACCTGCGTTTGTAGTTGTGGGAAGGGCTGTGGAGGTTGTTTCTGTGTCCTGAGTTGCCGATGCTGTCGAAGTTAAGGCCCTGCCTAATAAGCAGATCGGTAAAAATGGGTTCATTGTGCATATTGGTAATGCAGATGTGTTAGTTGCTTTTCCTTTAGCAGGTTGCATTATTAGTGCACCGCACAATAAAAGAGCCAGTCCCAAGGCTATCCTCTGAAATCATGGTCAAAATAAGACCAAGTTAAATAAAATAGCCTGCAAGATTTGTTAATGTAGAACTTACCATCCTGAGTTCTTTGCAGGCACTGAACATTGCACTATGTGGGCAACTATTTATGTACAGCACTGTCTTGGTTTTTCTTTGTTTCCTTATTGATAAGTAAATTCCATGGATTTCAAGGCACTTTTAAATGTATCTTGAAAGTGCTTTACGATAGCAAATGTCTGCCCATTTTTATGGGAATTTGGGTCTCTTTCTTAGGATTTTTTGTATCTTTTATAAAAGTTATGAGCTTCACTTACCTGTCGTTCAGTTTCGATGTTAAGCGCAGTCATATAATTAACGTATGGTATGCTTAGTAAAATATAGTATAATATATATAGATATACTACTGAAAATATATTGTCAGCATCGGTCAGCACATGCAGGCGTTTATCCTGTGGAATGTTTCCCTACCAGCTAAGGTAAGTGATTAGATATTGATATGTTTATGTGATCGTTATTTCAATACAACCTAGGTACATTCCCAGCCCCTTAATATAAGGCTTAGTGGTAGCATAAGAAAATATCTGTAGCCAGAGCTTGATCAATATATGATTTAAAATAAAGAGTTTGAATTATAAAGTAAACTCTTGGAAACCTTATTTGAAAAATCCAAAAAGGTCGAAACCCACACTAGGTCGAGCCGAAAATAACCCCGGGACGAGCAAAACTACCTAAAAGCTCCGAGAGCCAACACAGGCACGCCCCAATTTTTAAGATCCTCAAAATCAGACAAAAATCTAGGGAGACCTAGATTGGGAAGACAGACCTTTATTTTCGCAAACGTCGGAAGGAGCTCGCCTTAGAAAGGATCATGAGGAGAAAAACTAGGAGCACCAGGACTAGCAGTTTTTTGATTTCCAGATCAATTTTATTTTATTTGTATCCATTTTATATCCAAACAAGAAAAAGAGTAAAATATTTTGATTTGAGTTTTTTAATTTTTTGATATATTTGTAAGGGTAAAATGGCTGGTTTTCAAATGTCCCAAGTTTTACCCTCCAGATAGCCAATTCAATAGTCTCTGCCAATTTATGTTCAAACATGAAATAATGAACCATTCAACGTGGGATCAACGTGCCGCCATTCCTCATTAAATACAGCTTAAATATCATTTTTTAGTTTTTTGATATTTTTCTAAGGGTGAGTTTTCTAAATATCCTAGTTTGCCTCCTTAAGATAGCCACATCTCTGCCAATTTATGTATATCCAAAAAAGATCATGGCACATACACTTTTCTAATTAAGTTTAAAAATACATTTTTATGATCCACTTTTATTGATAAAAGATTTTAGAAAAGGATCTGAGGTCATTTCTTCAATATTTATCAGTTTTGGTCTAATAACGAAACAATTCCTTATTTATGCAGTTCTTATAATTTTAATTGAATTGAACTCGAAATGGATATGAAATATAAAAAAGTAATACAGTGTAAAAACTATTTTCCGAAAAGGTTTCCAAAAGATGGGTGACGTGGAGGTGGGGGTGGGGGTGGTGCTATCAGTGGAGGAAAAGGTAAGATTGCAACAACCTCGGCATCAGCAGTAGCTAAGTTGATAGGGAATGGAAACGGTGGTGGGGGCGGAGGAGGCGGTGGTGCGAACGGAAAGCCAGGCCGATTATGGTAGTGATGGTGTTGATGGTGTTGATTATTTGTGGACGTTGTTGTCTTAGACGTCGTCGTGCTTGTACTGCTTTGCAAGCATATTGGTAACAATGGAAACTCGTTACATGGATACCCCACAGTTGTGGAAGTAGTTGTGGAAGTTTCCGTGGATGATGTGGGAATAGCAGTGGATGTGGTTCCCGTGGTTGATGTGGGAATAGCAGTGGATGTTGTTCCCGTTGTTGAAGTGGGAACAGCTGTGGATGTTGTTCCAGTGGTTGAAGTAGGAATAGCAGTGGATGTTGTTCCCGTGGTGGAAGTAGGAATAGCTGTGGATGTCGTTCCCGTGGTTGAAGTGGGAATAGCTGTGGATGTGGTTCCCGTGGTTGAAGTGGGAACAGCTGTGGATGTTGTTCCCGTGGTTGTTGTGGGGACAGCTGTGGATGTCGTTGCTTCTGTAGAAGTTGTGGTAGCTGCGGTGGTTGTTGTGGGGATAGCTGTGGATGTTGTAGTAGCTACTGTAGTAGTTGTGGTAGCTGCGGTGGTTGTTGTCGGGATAGCTGTGGATGTTGTTGCTTCTGTAGTAGTTGTGGTAGCTGCGGTGGTTGTTGTCGGGATAGCTGTGGATGTTGTTGCTTCTGTTGTAGTTGTGGTAGCTGCGGTGGTTGTTGTGGGGATAGCTGTGGATGTTGTTGCTTCTGTAGTAGTTGTGGTAGCTGCGGTGGTTGTTGTGGGGATAGCTGTGGATGTTGTTGCTTCTGTAGTAGTTGTGGTAGCAGCGGTGGTTGTTGTGGGGATAGCTGTGGATGTTGTTGCTTCTGTAGTAGTTGTGGTAGCAGCGGTGGTTGTTGTGGGGATAGCTGTGGATGTTGTTGCTTCTGTAGTAGTTGTGGTAGCTGCGGTGGTTGTTGTGGGGATAGCTGTGGATGTTGTTGCTTCTGTAGTAGTTGTGGTAGCTCCGGTGGTTGCTGTGGGGATAGCTGTGGATGTTGTTGCTTCTGTAGTAGTTGTGGTAGCAGCGGTGGTTGTTGTGGGGATAGCTGTGGATGTTGTTGCTTCTGTAGTAGTTGTGGTAGCTGCGGTGGTTGTTGTGGGGATAGCTGTGGATGTTGTTGCTTCTGCAGTAGTTGTCGTAGCTGCGGTGGTTGTTGTGGGTATAGCTGTGGATGTTGTTACTCCTTCAGTAGTTGCGGAAGCTGCTGTGGTTGTTGTAGGGATAGCTGTGGATGTTGTTCCCGCTGATGTTGTAGCGGAAGTTGCTGTCGTTGATGTGGGAATAGCAGTGGATGTTGTTTCTTTTTCAGTAGTTGTCGATTCAGTCGTAGCAGCGGTACGGCAGCTTGGTAGAAGGGGGTCCAGTATGCATATTGGTCGTTCTGTTGTGGTAGTTGCATTGGCTATAACAGGTTGAAATGCAAGTGCACTGCACAATAACAGGATCAGTCCCAAGATGTCTCTCTGAAATCGTGGCAAAGTAGGGACTATTCTAAATAAAATTTCTTTGAAGATTTGTTGATTTAGAACTTACCATCCTGAGTTCTTGAGAGACACTGAATATGGGTTTATGGGGGCAACTATTTATGTACCGAGCTATCATAGTTTTCTTTTGTTTCCTCATAGATAAGTACCTTTTCTTTTACTAGTCCCATGTCAATCGAACTTAGAATACTTTTTTAATGTATCTAAGAACGGTTTTACAAATGGACAGGAAGTGGCTGACCATTTGTTATCGGTCTCTTTTTAAGGTCATTTGTACCATTGATAACCTTACTCACCTGTCTTTCTGTTATGCTGATTAGTACGCAGGTATGTAAATAGCATATGGTATGCAAAGTGCTTTTGAAATAAATTTTAACTATTGAAAGGATATTTCCTTGTAGCTCTTTTAATTAAAAAGAGACCCTGTGATTGAAAAACCCTCATAGGCTTTCTAAAAAGCAGCTAGAATCAGAACTCAGGGGTTAAGCCAATAGCAAAATATTAAATGAAAATATTTCCGACCCATTGATTGCCCCAATCTGTTTGCATATTTGTGTGTAAGGAAAAAAAGAACAATTCTGTGGGGGGTGTATGCTTACTGTACAGTATGCCCTCGGAGCTCAGTCTATGAAATAATGAACGCATGAATGATTGCATACTTTTTGGCTGTTTGCCGCTTAACATTTTCATTGTCATTTTCTCGTTTTTCTATTTTTCCCTCATATATGAAAAAATACCGAAATCGGTTAATGTTTATTGAAAAGGCATAAAATTCGTTCTACCAGAATGGAAAATATGCTTTTGATACAATTATTGTGCCTATCTGCAGGCGCCGGTCCTCAGAACGCACCCCAAACCCAGCAAACTGAATCCTCCCCCCCATTTTTACAATTCCTATCTGAAATTTTTGGCTGTTTTTTAATGTGTTTTTTTTTCGTTTTTTTTCGTTTGAGTTCATTTTGCCCTCGGCATGCTGTTCTTTTGGCTCTCAGACCCCAAAGGCCCTGCAGTTATATGGGTCGCTTGCCGTTGATAAAAATCCTGGATACAATATGCGGCAGCCAGCTGAATCAGAATGAATATCCATTCTGATGTGACTGAGTTTTCGGTGCAGGATTGCAAAAGCAGAAAGCAATTTTCATGGCCACGAGGTGGAACAATGTCGGATCGAATGGAAACAAAGAAATATGCTTACAAAATGCGTATCTTAAGTTATTAGCATAAATGGATAAATTTCCCTTTGAAAGTTAAAGTTTTACATTTTATTCGCTTTAAATACATAATCTTTTATATCCTATCAGTTAACCAATTTTCGATTATAATTTTAATGAATTTTGAACGGCAGAAAGTCTTGGTAAGCCAGAGGAAAAAAGCTGTGAAAATTACATTGCTTTGATATTCAAATGCTCTTGCAAAGTTTCATTTGCCTTTTACAACCGCAACTCATTTTCACAATTTTCAAAATTTCGTATTTTATGCATTATTCAAAAGTGCTGCCCCAAAATTTTGTGTGTGGGTCCTTGGTCAGCGAAGGGTTAAGGCAGAGAAGATGGAGTATGGTGCCAGGACGTGGGTCTGTAGATGCTCACGAAACATATTTGATATTTCATGCCCAAATAAATGCAATGAAAATTCATCAATTGACTCGACTCAACTCAACTCGCCGTCATCGCCTCAGTTGGCATTCGACACTGTAGCCCCATTTGCATATAAATTGCTTTTGACATCGTTTGTTTGCCAAACACTTTCCGCTGCTCTCCCGAAAATTTATGTTTTTTTTCCTTTGGTTTTTTCATCTCCTGGTCATGTCAAGTGCTTATCAGCCTGTTGGCATCTGTCCGGAAAAGCAATTGCATAACTCTTAGAATCGCTTTTTAATTGCCACAATTTGTGCTTAAACGTTCTGCCATTTCAACCAGAGCCTGCAGCATTCCACCTTAAAAAAAGAAAATAATAAATAAAGCGAATAAGCGACATCCATGGTGACAATTATATAGAGCAGTTCAGTTTCATTCCGTGCTTTGTCGGCTAAGGGACGGAAACTGCCCTGGGGGCAGCATCGGAGGCTTACAAGTTGGCCCATTAGAGCCACGCGCGATATCTGAAAGACTCTGTTGTGGGGCAAGGTTGCATTGGTGGGCGGAAATGTCAACTTAAATTCTCAACCAGAGCCATTCATTGGCGGGAGTTACTTCAAGTCGAAATTGTATTACTCTATGTATTTATGTATTAAAAAACATTTTTTCAAATCATTTTTATAGGGACTTTTTAACAATTTGATAGTTTTATTTTTATTTTTTAAGAAAAAGACGTGATGAGATGTATTTATTGTTTCCAGAAAATAGGGCCTATTCTTCAATAAATAAATTTTAAAACTCGAAGAGAAATTTAATATTTTCTTGAACCAATTCTTCGAAATTAAATTTTAAATTAAAAAAAAAAATATAACTGACATTTTTAAAATATAACCTTATAGTTTCATTATTTTAATTTCAAAAGGCAAACCATCTACAAATTCGTATAAACTCAAACAAAACCCAGCTAATTTCTTCGCCTTGGGGGCAACATGCGGCGTTGACACAAAAATTCGTTAGAAAAACCCCAAAGAACAAGACGTTTGGAGAATCTAAGAAAAGTCGCGGAAAAAATAACCAACGATGGCAACTGAGGGTGACATTATTTTTCATGTCAATGCCTAAAAAGGACCAACAAGAATAATAACAAGAAAGGAAATGTAGCGGCGACAGACTTTTGGCGGTTTGTTGTTTGCCTTGGCTGGCTGATTCTTTTGCATTTTTTATGGCGCCAGCCACGCCCCGTCTTTACCGCCTCGTCCCTGTCCACCGTTGACCCCCGGAGGGCAGGTGTGGCGCGCTTTGTTTCTATTGTCATCAAGTGGAATTGGCTTTTAATGTTGCCGCTGAGATATCTTAAGAATAATTGTTTTGCGTGTTTTTCTTGATTTCCACGGGCTCAAGCATTTTTGTATAGGCCCCGCAGGTGTGTTTTATTCCAAGCCGATGAGATTTTTGGCCCGAGTTTTTAATGTTTACTTAGGGTCATGTTTTTTGGGGAACGCTATCGGCTGGAGTTTGGAACTGGAGCTCCTGGCAATGGTCCGGGGAGTTTAAAATTGGGAAAGAGGAAAGAAAGTTTTGGAAGGAACCCATTTATAGAAGGTTTTTAAAAGATGTTTTTAGGAAAAAATTAAAAAGATCTCTGGGTAATAAGTGTATAAAATTTTAATGAGGACCTTGTCTACTTGGATAATTAATTGATTTTATATTAGGCTTAAGTTACTGTTTCTATTAAAAAAATACACTTTTGTTCAAAGATATTTTATTGTTTATTCTTAAGCTATTTTTAGCTTTATAAATAGTTTAACTTGAACGTTTTGGAAACCAGTTTGAGGAGATTATTCTCTTAAATATGCAAATCCCAGTGTGTGTGTGCATCATTTTCGATTTAAATATAAATTAATATTCTAACACGCTTCAGTTAGGTTTTGGCGTTTTTTTTTTCCTCTCTTTTGGGAACTTAATGAAGTCGGCGAGGAGCCAGTCTGGCTGTGATTTCGATGCCTGAGCATCCTGTTCATTTAAATTTAAATCCATGCGTGTGTGTGTGCTCCTTTGCTCATTTAATCTTAATTAAAAACCGGTTTTCGGGTTGCTGCTGCCGTTCCTGATACATGGATATGTTTATTTTTTCGCTCCAGCTCGGTGCCCCAAAAAGTATGCTACCGAGCAGAGAACTGTTTCATTTTATTGTATCCGAAATGGCTGGGATTTTTGGGTAGAAACGGGTTAAGAAGGATATGTATGTGGCTCGTGAGGCAGCCTGGCACATTTATTTAGTATTCATCATATTTCTGATTTATTCAGTGGCAAATGGGCACGCGTATTTATGCTTATAATTACATCCAGAACCGATCCGAGAAGGGAAAGTAACCCCAACCTCGAGGGATGATGTAATGCGAGCGTGTGTGAGGCTGTTTATTCATATGAAAATTGTTGTTCTTTTGGTTCGTTTATAGTTTACGCATTTCACGGTTGAATTTACACCTTTGGGATTAGATTAGTGCCGAAAGGAAGTTTTGGTATTGTGAGGGTTGAAATGGACTTTGAGATTTTTTCCGAAGAAATAGTCATAAGCTTGTCTCTCCAAAAGATCTATGTAGGTCAAATCTAGGTAAATGATTACTTAATGTGTTTATTATTTAATATCACTGTGGATGGCAGTAAACGTAGGTGACGAATCGGAGGATGAGTAGGAGTTGAATGAGCGTTCGTCACTGATAAATAATCAAGAGATTTTTTATTTGATAAATAATATGAACCATTTCTAAAACAACTCTTCACATATGTAAGTATTAGTCAAAAAACAAGAAAGCAAAGCTAACTTCGGGCGGAGCCGAAGTGGATATACCCTTGCAGTTAAAACCGGATATATATCGCAAACATCGGATATAGTTGGCCGATCCTTATGGGAATAGGAATATAATTTCCAATTTATTACAATACAAAATCTAAAAAAAGTCCCAAACTTCTATCTTCAAAAATACGAAAGTTGATATTTCTACCAAATACCATTTCCGATCGTTCAGTTATATGGCAGCTATAGGATATAGTCGGCCGATCCTAATGAAATTTGGTAGGTCGGATCAACTGACCAAATATATAATCTGTACCAAGTTCCAGCTCTCTATCTTCAAAAACACGAAAGTTGGGTCATTTCCGATCAATCAGTTATATGGCAGCTATAGAATATAGTCGGCCGATCCTTATGAAATTTGGCACGTCGTAATGTTTTGCCAAAAATAGCTCTCATGTCAAATTTGAACTCTCTAACTCTAAAAACACCAAAGTTATACCATTTCCGATCAATCAGTTATATGGCAGCTATAGGATATAGTCGGCCGATCCGGGCCGTTCCGACTTATATACTGCGTGCAAATGAAAGAAGGGTGTGTGCAAAGTTTCAAGACGATAGCTTTAAAACTGAGAGACTAGTTTGCGTAGAAACAGACAGACGGACAGACAGACGGACAGACGGACAGACGGACAGACGGACATGCTCATATCAACTCAGGAGGTGATCCTGATCAAGAATATATATACTTTACAGGGTCTGAGATGTCTCCTTCACTGCGTTGCACACTTTTGACCAAAATTATAATACCCTCTGCAAGGGTATAATGAGTACCAAGTTTAATAATTTCACATAAATCTTTTATTTATGTAAATTTTGTGGAAAAATGTTGAAAATCTAATGTTTTTAGCCGGTTGTTGCTTAATTCTTTCTTAATTTAAGACACAATTTAATACATTTCTGTCGTCAATTCACAAGTACTTATATAGGTTAATGTCTTAATCTATAAAGAGTTCTTAGTTCTTATAGTTGGATGCAAGTTATTCTTAAACTTCAACTTGTTCAGTGCAAACAGCATATGTAAGGTTACCAAAGGTGCAAAGGTTATGCACCTCATCGTAATAGGGATGCGTTGGGGGACACATATACCTGTAACCATCCTTGGCGCAATATTGGTATATTAAACATTCAGAGTTCACAGTGGCCATAAATAAAGCATCCACATTACCGCACCGATTGTGGGGACATGCATATGTGGCTGGCGAGACACATAGTCCAGACTTTGGATTGAAGTGGGTGCCAGTCGGGCAAGAGTTCCAAATACCAATACTAGACTCGGTTGCACAGTAGTAGAAACCATAACAGGTTGAATTGTCGGGAACAAATCTGTACGCTCCAGGTCCAGTGACTTCTTTGGCATTGGCCCAGCCATTTTGACAAGCTGTGTCACTCGTGTCTCCGACCGAAAACTGACCATCGGTGGCGGTGCCACTGTTCGAGGAATCGCATGCATTCGTCGATTGGCAACTTCCAGTTTGCAGGTTGTAGGTTGTTCCATTGGTACACGTGCCAGGTGTACCGGCGCCCTTAAAGCACGAGATATATTGTCCACAATTTTCCGGATCACCAACAATAATATCATTCTTCATGTACTCGCAAATGGAGTCCTGGGGGCATGTGGGCCCCCAGTCGCACTTTGGCACACTGGCAAAGAAGACAGCACCGGTGCCACAACTGAACACTTGCATATTACCCTTGCCATCGCAGTTATAGTACTGGTTGCAATCGTCCGGATCGGCCACATACATGAACGTGGTGGCAACCTTACAAGTTTCCACTGGATTGGTCTTGCACGGAGTCCTGTAGGACCAATCGCAGATTCCCAGCTGGGCGTTGAAGGTTTCGTTCTCGGCACAAGATCCCCACGATACCAGTTTCTGGCCCAAACAGTAGCCCCAGCCTTGGCAGTCGGTGGGATTACCCACGTATCCTTTGTCCCACCATTGGGCACACATTTCCTCCATTGTGTAGCCGGCGTAGGTCTGGGAAGCCACAAGCAGGCAGGCGGCCAGGACGCAGATCCTCAAGTTGACCGTGGTTACCATCGTGGTTTGGTAAATATATCACTTATACGCACCGTGTAGATTCTTTCACTAGCTCAATCGCTGGCAGGTCTGGCTTTTTTATAGTTTATAGACCTTTCTCGACCGGAGGTAGGTCTTAATTAAAATATTCTCAGCCAGATAAGTCAGTATCGCAATTAAAATTCCGAATGGAACTCCTCTTGAAAGCGATAAGGTTCTTGGTAAGAGAATCTCGGTAAAGCCCTACCATTCTTTGATTAACTGCCTTTCAAAAGCCTCGGACATTAGAAGTGCTTATAAAAACCTCAAACCCCTTGGGTATATTTTTTCGGATAGAGCCAGAATGTCAGATTATCAGGCACTGATTGCTAGTGTCTTTGTTTATAATGGCCTTTTAATTAAACAGCGGCAATTATCGGTGTGATCGGTACTAGTATCTAGTCTACCCACTCAAGAGGTTCTTTCCTTTGATTAGATTATAGTCTAATTTTTGCAAATCACTTTTTTACACCGAAATATATTTTTATTGTGGCTTAAACTGCTTTATAGATAAAACCTTTTGCATTAACACATTATACAGCTTGAGCGGTGATTCGATATATATTTTTTTTTATAACCAAAAAGATAACCATCAAAAGTGACTTTTCAACAGCGCCATAAAAATTGATACATGCACCCTCCACATACGATTTTGCAGCATCTGATTCTTTTTTGCGTTAAAATTTTCAATAATTCTGAAAATTCAAGCAGATATTTTTGGGGGAGGCTGTTCCAGAGCTTGGGAAGTATACCATATATGTATGTTAAGCGCTACCTTTTGACGCACTTAATCTGCCAATAAAAGTAAATCAAAAGGAACCAAAAAGGCACCCCGAACAACCCCCAAGCCGAGAGCAGTTCAAGAGGCATTTCCTGTTTTAAATTGAGGTATGCCATGGGATATTGCCGATATGGATATGGGATATGGCAAAAATTCCTTGCCTATTTTTTTGCTTCTTTTACTTTCGCATCTCATCTCTTTCTGCTTTCCGCCAATAAATTGCCGTTGTTTCTGTAGGATGGGGGAGTGTTCTGTGTTGAAAAGTGTAATTTTAAAAACTCATAATCGCAGATAAGTGCGGTCTCAAATTGCCAGAGCCGGGCGGACCCGAGTAAAAATGCCTGACAGAAGGCCATTCATTACAACGGCCAACGACTCATCAGGGTATGGGGGGGGGGATGGAATGGCCGTACCCATACCAACATATATAGTATATCTCATATGAGTGCTCTTTTTACACAACTTTTGCCTATAATCCCACCGCCCACAACAACAAAAGGAATGCAGAAAAAAAAAGCATTGCAGAAACGAACGATTTACCAATTTTCATTTCAAGTCCATTGTTACCGCTCTGGCTGCTTAGCCCCCTCGGCCCATGCCATGATGTATGTTGGTATTAAAAGTTATTGAAAAAATTGCTGACAAAAGAAGTATAAATATTTACGCAAAATACTATTTGAAAGTCAAGAGGCAGACAGGATTCGGTAGGCTAAAGGGATGGGGTACTGGTGGCAGCCCCTTTGGCTCAAAAGCCGATTTCAAGGATTTTGAAGAGCGAATGCAAATGATTGGCTTCTTTGATGTTATCCTGAACGAATTCTGCATTTTTTGGCTTAAGATTTACAGTAGATTGAGGTGGGGGTGGCTTGTTTTAATTAAAATGGCTTAGAAACTTTAGATAATACTTTACTATTTTTTATTTGAAAAAAGAAGTACTAGTCCTGAACATATCTAATTTTTTTTTATAACAAAAGTGTCTGTATATCTTGTTGCACACACACCCATAAATTTGAATTTAATTAAAAACTCCCAAACAATTGAAATCCAAAAGAAGTTGAGCCAGCAAAACAAAAGTTTTCCCCAACTCGGGGATTATACTGGGAGTAAGTATCTCCCTAGAGCTTCTAGGTGTGTGCAATAGGATATAAATAAAAACCGAAAATGCTATAAATTTTATGTGGAATATAATTGCTTAATGGCGATGGCATTGCCCTAGCATAATTGCCACATTTCACACATTGGGAGCAAAGTCCTGGAAATAAAAATTAATTTTAATTTTAGGCAGCCTGCCAGTCAGCACAGAACAGAACAGGAACAACAATAACAAGACAATTACACACCGCACACACGAAATGAGTCCCAGGCCCAAGAAAACAAGGACTACTGTTCCCTTTCCACCTCTGTACCCGCCCCTCTGTTCATCAAGGACTAACAAGGACACCGCACCGACAAATTGTTGCCCGCCGTTTGTCGAGTAGAAAATTGAAATTAAAAAGAAAATGCACAAAGGCAAAAAAATGTCTAAAATGTTAACAGCATTTCCCATCGCGGTGCAGGGGTAGGGGTAGGTGGGTGTTATGGTGGTGCTATGTCATCCCGGTGGAAACTGTGGGAAATTGTCGCGTCTTGGGCGATAAATCAGGCAGGTGTCGTCGGCGGTTGGGTGTTAAGCATCTTTTCTGTTCTTTTCTCCGTGTGAGATGTGGTCGCATTAAAAATGCAGCAAAGTTGCCAGAACAAGCTACATAAACCACCCAACCACCAGCCAGCTTTTTTCCATTCCCTCCCCCCTTTTGAACCACCATCACCACCACCATCCCCCCATCTTATGGCAACATTTCAATATTTCATGCAAAAAGGCGCAAGTAATTAAATTCAAGGAAAACTAACGGCAAAGACCGCACTGTAAAAATGCCATAATTATACGCGACTGCATGTCGTGTGGGCTTAGTGTACCGCCCTTAACCCAGTGTCTCCCATTAACCCCCAACCGCCCCGGCGGACGACCTGCGGAGCGTACATACGCCAGCCCATTGGCGTCATAACCTTTTACAGCCTTAGACGAGGTCTTCTTGTCGACATCTTCATCTTCGTCTTGGTTTTGATTTGGTTTGCATTAATACCCTGTAAAAAAAAGTTAAGAGAAGGGGTTTAACTTTGTTTCATTTTAATTATTAGAATATTTTTTTAATAAATATTAACAGAAATATAAACTAAGTTGCATATTATTGTATTGCTAGATTCCATTTTAATAACTTATAGATTCTTTATGGACTAAAACAATTGATGGTTCTTAACTGAAGCCCGTTGAATTTATTTTATTAAGAAATAAAGTTAAATTTTAATATTTAAATGTATTTATAGGGCTTAATTCTATTTCACCCTAGAAAGTATTGCTCCTTACATAGTAACCACATTTTTGTAGCACTTTTCATGTCTGCCAACCACGGTTTCGTCTACCCCTGACCCAACCACCCACTCGTTTTGAACATTTTCGGATGTGGGGTTGCGTCTTAATCCTTTTTCCATTATTATTTTCATAATTCTTATTTACATGACGCCAAACGTCTTCGTCTTCGTCTCTCTGTCTCGGTCTCGGTTTTGGCGTCTTACTTGCTGAGATTTTTGTCTGTTATTGTTGTGGGCGGGGTCCAACCCTCTTTTCTTAAAATTTCCACAAAACCCCCTCCCCTGAAACAAGGCCATCCAGGAGCGCAGCACAAGTGGGGAATGCTTAGCTCCCCCAAAAAAGTAATTATTAGCTACGCTCCTGGTACAAAACCAAAAGGGTAGAGCTTGTCTCCTTTGCTTGACGCTTTTTTAATGTTTGGCGAAAAATTATTTTCTTATAACTGAATTATTCACTGATTACATGCCGTTGCCTTTCGCGCTTCTCCAGTGTCCTTCGCTCTCTTTCGTTTTGTGTGGTGCTGTCTCTTTCGGTTTACCCCGTTCACCTATCTGCCAGGCCAGGCCAGCCCAGGCCGTGCTGGGCCTGTCGCTTTCGCTTTGCCAACCCCTTATCGTGCTTTACAAATTTATTACTCATACGCCCCGCCCAACCAGCCCCGAGTCCTTCGGCTTGCCACTTTTCCGGACAGACCCAGTTCGGAATGATTCGCTTGTTTGAATATGTGGGGGTGGCCCGGGGGCCATCTGGGGGCGAAGGGGAGTGGTTATATAAAAAAATAAGGCGGGGGTGCGCATGTGAGAACTGCATAATTATGAGCGCAAAACGGATTTAATTTTTAATTAAAGCGCATTTGAGTGTCTCCGCCCCAGGGTCCTTGTTGCTTTTGGACGAGCTTTTGGTTAATTTTTATATTATATTTTTGTTTATTTTTGGGTTTTACGTTGTCTGGAGTTTTCAATCAAATAATATCTTTTATGAAACTCATTTTCATTGACTGATCGGATTTTAATTATTATTTAAGTCGTCTTTTTTTTTTGAAAATTGCTCCTAAAGGATCTTAAATTTTCATTCCTTTTGATGAATGTGCAACCAGTAGCTCTACTTGATGATGGCCACTTGTAATTGTATCTGCTTCCATGGCTCCCTTCTCCTGCCGGTCGTCCACCTGCCTCGTGCGCCCAATATTATGCTTTCATTTCTGTTTGCCAAGTGTTTGCATAAAGCGCGCGTTGACTGACCACGCACCCCTGTCTCCCACCCTTCACCTTCTGGAAGCCTTCTTCGCCCTCAACCTTATTACCATCCCCCTAGTCCTGCTTCCATCCTCCGGATTCATCCGTCCAAGCAGCGGGCATCGATAATGTGTCGCCTGTTTAACCAGAGGTTTGTTCTTCCCGAACCGGGACTGCAGTGGGAAAAATGAATAGGTTTATTTTAAATAAAATATTTAATAAATTTAATTTACAAAATCCGCGTCAAAACTTATCTTCTTCAAGGAGATCTTAAAATTAGTCCGATTGATAGTTTCCTTTGTTAGCTACCCTTAATATTGCCCTGTGTACTCCTGCTCCAGTTTCAGTTACTGATTCTGCTCCTGTGTACTTCTCTGGGCCCGTTCCACCTTTCTGGTGCCTGCCCCTCGATGATGCTGATGATGACACTCATAACAATTGCGCGACGGCATTTTACCTGAACAAACTTTGATACATGCCTCGCTTGTTGGGCCGAAGGGAGGACCTCCACCACCCGCTAGTGGAGTGGGTGGTGGCGGGTGGACTTCCAGCTAAAGGCAATGGCCAAAACCAAACCAAACGTAAACGCAAATGAAAGCAAAATGCAGCCATGTCAGCAGTAGCAACAACAACGAGGACGATGATAGCGGTGCAGTGGCGGCTAACAAAACAACTGAAGGGAAAGCTGGATGGGTGGACGATGTACGTTGGTGGGGGTCTATGGGGGTGGTACCTTGGCCATTTGGCAGTTGGCACTCGAATGCAATTTCAGTAATTAAAATAAACAACAGACGACGGGCCGCTGTTGCAGTTTGACTCCTGGCAGTGGGCTATTCGATGTCCGCCCACGATGACAACAACATCCTCATCAAAATCATCATCATCGTCAGGGACATATCATTATGGTGCAATTCTTTGCATCCATTTGGGCCAATTGCTTTGTCAAAATAAACAGTTGACGTTTGGCTTGATGGATTTAATCAAAGCTAAGTGATACTCTATGTTACAAAATGTGAATAATGATAAATTTTATATATTTTTTAAAGAATAATAGATTATAGATTAAAAGGATCAAAAGTTAATTTCAATAATATAATTTTAGCTAACTTTCCCCAACTAGCATAGACACCATTTAAGTTATAAAGGGTATCTATCCAGATAGACCATACCCCACATTTAGGACATAATAAAAGGCCCCAACGAAATCAGAATAGAAACACGACGGTGTGCTGCGGATTTTGTGGCCAGAGAGACAAGTCCGGGAATTGACTTAATTAAATGCAATTTTCAATGCGTTTTTCGCCATTTGAGTGCGCAATTTACGGATACACCCCATGGAGTGACAATCCGAGTGCCATGAGGTGGGGTCTTGGCATTGTCACTTGGTAGGTTTTTATGTTTGTTTAATTGTCGGAGATGCGTTTCGCTTTATGCTTATTTATGATTTAATTAAATGCAATGCAGTCCGTAAAATGAGCCATGTTAGTGAACTTCCAGGGTTCGGGGGAAAGACATTCAAGAGTGGTGATGGAGTTGGAGTGTTTATTTTCGTTTCGAGACGTTCTTTGTGGCCAGAAAATGACCAGAGAAGCTCATTTAATTAAGCTGCCAGCCCATAATGAGGAAATTCATTGCCTCTGACCAAGGGACGTATAAATATGTATTTTTATTTATATTTTATACGTATTTTTCCAGCTTCAAACTTAAAAAAAAGCCAACCATCAATCAAATTATAGGATGTTTCATGAGGAACATTTGGGCAGCACTGGCAGTTTAAGAATTATTTATAAAAATTTAAAATAAAAGTCCATTTTAAGTCCAGCCTTTTTTTCGTTTCACATCGTTTTAACCCTAATCTATGTATTTCCTCCTATTCCACCTTACCTTCATGTTGTTTTCGGCTTTTGAATAATTGAATTCTTCTGCTTGGTGAAACACAAAACTCAAATGCACAACCGAATGAGTTGATCAATCAATTTGAGGGTTTTTAGGTGGGTGGCCTAACCCTTACCGGATATGTGAAATGCAGAGATATGGAGATTTGTATTCCGAAGGAAATAAGTTGAGACTTCATTAGCTTTAGCTCACCTTTAACGAAGTTTTGTGAGTAAATTATGGAGTGTGAAAATTTAATTTTAATATTAAACAAAAGAAAACAAAAAAAAAATGTATATAAATCATTCGTCATTGTAAATGAATTCCAATGAATTCCAATTATATAAATCATTCGTCATCATAAATCCAAACACCTGCGGAAGGTTCTATAATAAAAGTTCAAATATGTTTCAATTGTTAAATGTTTGCAACCAAATTTCTATTTACCAAACCATGGTGCTAGTGCAATGATTGCTAGAAAAGCTGTAGTCCAAGACATGATTTATTCTTCAGTAGCCAATGTATTAAACAAAAAATTTTCCATCGTTCTCTTTTATACTAAAAATTGGGAATGCAAGTACATATATAGAGTATTCGATATGGATAAGCTTTAAAGCTTGAAAGTCAATATTTCATTTCAAGGTTAAGTTTATGTGGCGAATCAATTGAATTCGGTTACCCGTTAATGATTGGAAAAAGAACAAGAAAGGAGGGCTAACTTGGGGCAGAGCCGAATTGCAGATTGCAAAATGCAGTATTATATAGAATTTATCTAAAAATCGAATAAGGTATTCCTCTTAAGGATCGGTTGACAATTGGAAAAGATATGGCTAACGCTGTGGCCCCCATTACCCTCCCCATGCATTTTTCAACATTTTGAAGGGGTCTCCCCAGAAAATTTGACAAAAAATCTAAAAAAAAATATGTTGTTTCCAGGTTTTATAACAGATTCATGGAGAATCGATCTACAAATCGATTAAGGTATTCCGCTCAAGGATCGCATCAAAAAATGCAAAGATATGGCCATCGCTGTGGCCCCTATTGCCCTCCCCATGCATTTTTCAACATTTTGAAGGGGTCTCCCAAGAATATTTTTATATATATTATATAAAAAAATATTTTGTTTCCAGGTTTTTATAAAACGGCGTTGCTTATCAGGTTCTTTTTTATGCTAAAACAAATATTTTAAAAGGAATTTTAGTAACGGATTAACCTTTTTTACCTTTAAAGTATGAACCTAACTTGAATACTGCATATCAACTGCATCGCTTTTTTTTTTTGGAAGACGCTCTTTTATTATTTTTATCAATTGGGCTAAAATAAACATTCTAAATAATGAAAAGAAATTAAAATAAAACTTCGAGTACTTACGTAAAAAAACAATTGTAATTAAAAACGTCATTAGGAAAAAATAAAAATTCCGTGGCATGTTTTTTCTTTTCAAATTATAAATAAAAATGGAGCATTCGAAATACCTTTTTTGCCTAGGTTATTTGGATTTAAAGCAATGCATATCGATTTAGTATGCTATTTTAAAGATTAAAGATTATTTAAAGATTAAAATAATCCGTTACAAAACCCCTTCTTATTAAAAATGAAATTTTGAGAGCAGAGATGGGGTTAATAATAATCTTATCCAGTTGGGAACTGGAGTCTGAAGTTTTCCTGAATTTTTCTCAGACTCAGTTGTGCTTTTGGCACTTCATTCATTTGTGAATGTGACAAGTGCCGAGTGCAGAGTACCGAGTGGGAATGGAAATGGGTATGGGAATTGTTGCCTGTCGTTGGCTGGGTTCGCTGACAACGCTCAACTTTATGTTGATTACCTTTTTTGATTATGTCTGAGTGTGTGTTTGAGTTCTTGGCACACGGCGAAAAGCCGGGATAAAACAATAAACATAAACCAAATGACGGGACGACGACGACAACAACGACTACGACGGCGGAGGGCATGAAATATGATTGAAGTCGAAATGAAAGATCCAGAGCTGGGCCACTTGAGAGGTGGCTCATGTGGAGAGAAACAATCCTGAGCCACTCTGGGGACACGAGTTGAAAAGGTGCAGCTGCTGACAAAAAAGGACATAATCACTTTTGCCGGCAACGGCCAAATTAAATCCAGCGAATATGCAAAAACACACTCTCCTCAAGCCCATCGTTGGCTGGGGCGGGAGTCCCCAAAAAACATTCTAATTGCAATAAAAAGCAACATTAACTGAGCGCCCCAGAGGGTGGCCCACTCAAAAACTGTCTCCTTCTTTGTAATAATCATCGAATAAATTATGCAAAAATCATTTCCATTGTTGTAAGTGGCTGTTGTTCGTTGTTCCCCGTGTGCGTTGTCAACGCGGTTCTCATCTGGGTCCTTGCCGGAGGAAACAATATTCTAGTATCGTATTACAGTAACCGGCTTTTTGGTGGTTTGGAATCCTTAAATTGGCAATACTTGAAATTTTAATAAGCTTTACAAAGGTATTTAAAATTTATTTTGTTTGGTTTCTAGGGTTGAGCTTGAAAAAGGGACTAAGTTTTCTTTTAAGGAAATATATTGAGAAAACTTATAATTCTAGTTGTTTAAAAATGCATACCAATTCAATAAAATAAACTCTTTTATCATAAACATTGACTAAAGCCCAATTACACAACCTTAATAAATCCGATTTCGGATTTTCCAATGTCAGAATTATCTCGTTAAGTTACTGAAACCCAAAAAGGCCAGGGAACAAGTGGCCACCCTTGGAAATACCTTTTGTAAGCCCGGCCAGGAGTCAGAAGACCGGAGACAGGAGGGGTGGCCAAGATTAGCCGAGCATTTTATTTTCCACTTTGCTTGTATTTATTTAAATTTGAGCCTCGGCGGCTATATGGGCAGAAAGATATAGCCAGACAGAGGCTTTGGACCTTGGGCTTATCGCTCGCTCAGCTTATTTGCACAGGCGATTGCCGAAAACCAATCGGCGTAAAATTGAAACCAGCACCGGGGATCGACTTCTTTTCATTTTTGTATTTTTTTTCTTGGTACTTTTATTTTGGGGTGTGCCGGGGCATAAAAATGAAAAACAAATAAAAGGGCATCCGAGATACCGTGGAGAGTGGGAAAGTGTCGAGCTAGTGGATAGGAAATTTCCAAAAATTAAACATGCCCGATGCGCATCGATTGATTGACGCGCGATTTGACACGTGGAAAAAGCATAAAATATGAAAATAGGAAATACGGAAAAGCCACTCGACGTATTGGCAAAAATGGGGAAAATATAATAGCATCTGTAATTGTTGCAACCACCCTTGGCAGGTTTTAGGACTTTGACTTCTCCAATTTCGTATGCAAATCATCCGGCGAGAGGCGTTCAAAACCGCGATGTTAAGCGTGAAATTTGTTTTTCATTTTCATTTCGGTCACAAGTCGGCGGTTGACAGATACTCAAATCGAATTTTTGTCCTGCCTGGCAAGTCATAAGAAAATATTTGAATAAAAGAACGTTCTATATATATTTTTTTCTTTGTTACCCTCAACGCCTACTTTAAATGGCCTCCCACTTTGTCAGGGGTGTGTCGCTTACTTGACGCTTGTTTTTCGGTACATTATGCAAAATAAACATGCAAATAAGATTTGCAGTTAATAAAATTGGCGTACAACCTTATACTCGTGTACCTCCAGTCTCCCTCTGGTGCCGGGATAAGTCCTGAAAGACACCCCTCGAAAACGAAAACGAAATCGACTTGTCCATATGCCACATTGGGGAACAATTATGTGAGATTTTAATTTTATTGCTAAGCGATTTTCTGGCATGGTTTTGGGCAACTGGGGGGAAATTTGAGATTAGCCAATTTTTAAAATCGTAAAAAATATTTCCTCTCATTTCTTTTACCAATAATTTAGAAATATTTTTTTAGTAGCCATTGCCCTTAAATCTGAATAGGCCTGTCTATATTTCATTGGCATTCTGTTGATTCCTGTTTCTTATACAATTTTTCTATTCGTTTCCTAGAAGTGGCTTACAAATGGTATGGAACTCATACTCCGTGGATAAGTAGCGTTAAATTGTGAGATTGTATTACATTTCCCCCGATAACAGTCGGGATTAAGATTTGCTTTTGGGGATGCTTAGACAGGGGATCAGACAGACAGAAATAAATATAAGTTGGAGGTGGTCAGGAGGGGATATTTTTAACTTTATTAAATAAAGGATTTCTATTTTGTATAAAACCGATAAAATTTCGTACAATATCTATAAAACTAGCTTTAATATATGTATTAAACATATACAATATATTATCAAGTAATATCAAGTATGCTATATTATTTATACCATTTTGGTAAAACTTTCTTTCCGACAAACATTTTGTATAAATTGGCTGACCACTTCCTGTATTTGTCAAATTTATTGATAGCCCAATATATCAAACTCCAATGCCCCTGGGGGAAAAAGTCCTTTAAAGAGGGTACAAAATTTCGTTCTCCTTGGTTCATTTTACGGACAGAATGTTGAAAACTTTGATTGATGCATCGTCGATAGCGGCGAAATGAAAATTAATCAAAAAATGCAAACTGTCTTGCGACAGCCACATGCCGCACAACTTGTTCGACTTTATCTCCCCGCAGTGCCACCCCGTCGCCCTTTCCTGCTAATAAATTTTTATTTAAAGTTCATAAAACAAACCGTGCGAGATAATAAATTATGAGTAGAAAAAAGCCAGAGCCGGACGCCCCGCAACATCTGCGCCCATGAAATCAACATAAAAAGTCATTTGTATATAATTTTTTCTTAGCTTTGGGTTTTTTTTTTTGGTTTTTGTTTCTTGTATTTTTTGTTGTATAATTTTTTAAAACAAATTTTACACAGTTGCTGCGGCTTCACGCTTATTTCAAATGCTCCCCGAAAAAGTATGCAAAGTATTATATTTCCCCTTCTTCGACGTCTTGCTCGTAATTCGCATTCATTTATCTAAGCAGCCGTGTCTTCTTTCATATTTTTTGTAACTTTTCTCTTTTGTTTTTTGGCCACTTTTGCTTACTTTTTTACGTGACTTGTTCTGCCTTGAGGGGGAATGAAATATAAGGTGGATCCTTTGGCTTTTGGGAGGTGGAGCATTCGGCAATACCATAAAGTATTGTCGTACTTATTAAAAAACATAATTTAGGCATTTTGTTTGTCATTTATTTTGATTACATGTTGTAATGGGAAATGCCAAAGTGGTGCCAATATTTTATATGAGGCTTTTAATATTTAAACAGCTAAAAATATTCCTCCTAAAAATAAAATAAAAAAAAAGAATTTAATTCCCCCAAAGGCTAAATACAATCCAGGGGGGAAAAAACCAAAACTGAAGTCACTCGACTGGGGATTAGGTCGGTCTCCTCCAATCAGCAACCCTAGACCTGTATCCTGGCTGTATCCTGTTCAGTCCTGGCTGGCAACCCTTTTGTTTTTGTGCTGGTGCCGCGACATGATAAATGACCGGTGTTATTCAAATTAATTGATCAAATCCGAATGTCAGACTCTGGAAATCTGCGAGAAATTGCCAAATTACGGCATCAAATGAATTAAGTGGCGACTGACACCAGGCCAGCGGATACGGATACGGATGTGGTTGGGTCTGTGGATGAGCATGGGCATGGTGGGCTGTGGGATTTGGTAATGGAAGGCAGTTGGAAATTTGCATGTATCATGCGGGTGACCGGGGCGGACGACACCCAGCGGGTACCACACACAAATTCCGGATGCGAGTCTCTACGGTTAACGGGTATATGTGTGTCAAACGGTATAGCTTCCGGTTGAATGATTGGACAAATGAATGGCTTACAAACGAACGCATGTCCGAACGGACGCAGGATAACCAGGACAACCGAATGGGGCGAAACCGGAGCAGCAGGAGCATCTCCCTCGAGGGCAGAAACACGTCGACTGTTTGTGGTTACTGCGGGCGCATCCATCTCTCACAGAAAGTCAAAATATTAGAGCACTCAAAGAAAAAGTATTGCATTTTAGATTCACTTTTATTTTTATTAATATAGTAGACTGATTTATTAATTGTTTGTGTTTGCTTGGCAAATAAAGTAAAGTTCCCTGGTACACCAGTTATCGTCCATGTTCTGGTAGCTTTTCAATGTAACACAGTCCTGATTGTTGTCGTTATTGGGTTCGCCCGGAGCCCACTTTAAAAGGGGCGCCCTCTTCCCGGTCGGGGCGGCAATGAACTCGTTTTCCTTGTCCAAATCGTTAATTCCAATCCAATAGGGATCTCTCGTAAGTCTTGCCCTGATGTCGTTCAGCTCCTGCTCATTTTCGATGGTGGCTAGATCATCGCCCAACCGGCGACAGAAATGCGAGGCCCCGAACCAGTTGTGTTTAATACTCTTATCAATATAAAAATACCTGGTGCCTATCTTTACAAAGTTTGGTGGTATCTGCTTTGTGACTTTGGACAATGTTTCCTTAACTTGGCTTTCTATTCGGGTCAGTCTCCCGGTAAGATCCTGTGGGATGATCTTTTGCCAATACAAGGTCTTCGTCTCAAAAGACTCCTCGACTCTAAGGCTTGTATTCTGGACTTCTGAAAGTTGTATTTCCGTATTTTTTTGCAGCTTTTCAAAGTTTGATCGATAGGTTTCCAAATATTTTTCTATTGAACTCTGACCAGCTTCCAGGTTGTCCAAAATGCTTTCCGCATTATTCCATCTGTCCTTAAAGTCCTCAGGTATGAGTTTGTTCCATGTCAAGTTATTGTAAAACAGGGAGGCTTCAATCCTGAACTGGGCATTTTGCAGAATGGCTTGTCGGCTTTCCAGCCAATCCAATCTGTTTTCGGTGTCATTTGGTTTAGTAGAATTAAGATTCCCAGGGGTTTCGACTATTAATGCTCCAGTTATTCTCTGAGGCAGTGCCCAGACTATGCAAATAATTATAGAAAGTATTGCGATTTTTATCATTTTCAGTGAATACTTTCCAATGCTGCCAGTTTTGAACTGAATGTTGGGGGGTTATATTAACACTTTATATAGCTAGCCCCCTGGTTTGTATAAAAACTCACCATATCTGCTTTCCAGGAAAGTCGGTATAAGTGAGTCTTCTGCAGCATGTGGGAGATAAGACTATTGGTTTATAAGAAATATTTTATATAAAGTATAACAATAAAAGAAAAATAGGTTAATTAAATATTTTTGTAATAAAAACAAGAAAGGACGGGTATACTTTGTATTCCCGACTGTATGATACCTGGTACTCTTTTCTTTCACCTTATGCACTTTTTTTTCTCTGTTCAAACAATAGTCTTAAAAATAATTAATTTACAAAGGCAAATTTTTAAAAAATATCTATTAATACATTCGCATGAACAAAATATACCCTTATACTCCAAAAGTACCTGGTTTAATAATGACAACCGCTGTGCATTTTTGTTATTTATTTAATGATATATTTTACTGCCACTTTTGTAGGCTTAATCATAAACATATAATCTCTAAATCTGAAGCGTGTGTTCCTTATCTCATAAAAACGAAAGAATAACAATAAACTCTGGTATTTTTTCCAAGTGTAGAGCAAATGCCCACTGGGCATATTTTTCGGAGCAAAAATTGTGCTGAAATTGAAATCGGAATTGAAAATTATCAGAACCAGTAGCAAAAGCAGCCGGCAACGATTTATTGCCTTGCCTTCGAAAATCTCCAAGCCCCACAGTCTTTTGGCAAAATCAAGAGAGTCGAATCATTCAGTCATTTGAGTTGGATTAATTGGTCGGAGTTGCTGGGAAAACGAGACGGGGTATAGACTGATTAATTTTGTGAGATTTTACAATTTGAGAGGTTTTTGCCGAATGATTGCAGAAAGCAATTAAATGCTTAAATTGAGTGCAAAGCAAACTGATTTTGTTGCACTCCCTTTTGGTTTGTGGGAGATCCTTTTGGGAGCTGGGGAAGGAAGAGCTTTCCCCATACCGTTTGCAATTGTAAATGTACTGTAGACTTTTCCCACATTCGTAGGAAAGTGACAAAGCCACTTAACACCTACTCATGTCACCCACACAATCCGCTTAGTTTAAATACCCAAAAGGCTAAACAAAAAACCCGGTAGCTGAAACCACCAAAAGCTACTCACCCACACAAAAGGAGAAAAGAGAGTGGATGGATCCGGTGGCTGGGGGTAGATATTTTGGTGACTTTCTGCAAAATTTAACAAAAACAACAAGGGTTCGCAGCTTCTTTTTCGACACTAAACGCCCCTTTTTGTGCGATGATTTTCCTCAGCTTTTTCGTTGTGGTGGGTGGTGGTCCTTGGGCAAAAGGGTCCTTGCTCAAAGGGCATTACCAACCACCAAAAAACTACAAACGAAAAGGCAACCGACGCTGAGGGGTAAGGTTTCCACTTTTCTGTCAAAACAAACCACCCATACTCACTCCAAATTTTTTTATTTCAGCAACAAGTGTTCATTGGGGAGTGGATTTTTGTTATAAAAATCTTAAAATCTACTTCTGTTTTAGAGAAAATATTAAAAATAGTACAGAATTCTTTAAAAAGCTAAAAGAAAGATCTATATCTCTAAGATGGACTAGATCATGCATATTATAATTTAAAATCTCAAGCGGATAATGGAAAACCCACAGAACATCCCAGTCATCCCACTGAGCCGGAAGTATTTTGTGAAGTGGCTTTGACTTATGGCCAAGACACTTCCTCGAGGGGTTTCCTTTCCGTTCAGGGGCCTGAAGTTGTCAACGACATTGGCCAGGCTAAGCTTGTCGGCTTCTCCTTGCCTCAGATGGGATCAGCGTTTTTTTTCCGGTCGAGCAGATGGAATCCTGCTGACCTTTCAGCCAGTTGTCTGGCCACCATTGACTCTGTTTACCTTGGCATCAATTTCCATTTCCGAGCACTCCAGTGCAAAAAATATACAAAAAAAAAGAGTGGCTGAGTGTATGAATGAAATTCAAATTTAAAAGTGTTTATGGCAGCGAAATGTAAATTTGTATTTGTTTAAGCGCGTCATGCCGCTAAATAGCAGAGAGTGTGTGCAACAAAAAGAGGCAAGTGCAAAAAACAAACCAACAAAAAATTGAAAACCTTTTTTTGAAAACCAAGCAAGCCACCCTCGAAATATGAACCCTTACCCTGGATTTCGCACATGTGTGATGTATGTAGTGTCGTCCACTTCAGTGTCAAGTGCATATCGCTTACTTGGCAGCCTCCTTCAATTTTCGATTTCCCAGACCCATTACATTTTCCCAACAATATGCAAATAAATTGCCATTTAATAACAAAACTGTTATAGCCCCCATGCATGTGGAATATTTTAAAACAATGGCCAGCATTTTGTCATTTATGTACCTATTTCCATTTGGCAATTTTCTTTGCATTTCATCGGGGAGGCGGTTACCATTTCAATAAAAACAATTTGTGAGTGCAACATTTGCATTGAGTGCTAACGGCCTTTTTATTGTTGTTGCAACTGCTGTTGCACTTCATAAAACCAGAGATGGCTAACGGGGTGTTCTGGGTTACAGGACCTCAGGACTAAAGTCCAACAGGACATTCTCTGGTAACTTTAATCGGTTGAAATATATTTTCAGAACAACCATCCAGATCCCCGCCATCGAATCACGTTTTTGTGGTATTTTAATATTGGGCCGCCGCATCCTTGCAGGCGTGTTGCAACAAACCAGGAGTCAGAAATCCCAAAAGGGAAAATAGCCCCTCATCGGTGGCAGCTGCCGTTGGAATTGCCGCTGACAAAACATTTTGCTGGCCGCATTTAATTAATTGTTCAATAAAATTAATAAACATTTGTGGGTCCTTGGCTCGGCAAAAAGTCAAAACTTTGGCTCTCTGGCTCTTTTCCGCAATGAAATTCATGGCATTTTTTGCTCGACTGCAATGCCAATGCAACAGCCTGGACCTTTAGTGAAAGGATGAAATCAGGATGCCCCCAGGACGGCCGCTCCAGTGCAGTCTGTGCAATGTTTTTCCAATCCTCAGACCCGCAACTCGAGGGTACCCGACTGCATCGCCTGCAGACATGAATGCGACAAAGTCGTTTGGTGCAAAAACATTTCGTAAATTGCTTCATAAATATCAATTTGTAAAATAATAATTGTTGGTCTCTGCCTCTTTGGCTACTGGGGTTTTTAGATTGGTTTGGGATTGGGAATTTGGTAACTCATCTAGACTAGATAGGCTTTAAAAAAATATCTAGTTTGGAGCCAAAAAAGGACACTTAGGGGGTTTAATATCCAAATGGTTTGATTTATATGAAGAAGACTTATGATAACAAACTAACTAAAGAAATGACATAAACCTGGTTTCTTACAGTCTCTGATTTTCTTTAAAGTATTTTAAAATTCTTTTTTTAAAGAGATTTGATCTCTTGAGATTTAGTCTGTCATTCTATATCCTTAATACTTTCTATGTAGAATGTAGAATTTTCTTTATTTATTATTAACCATAAGCCCAAATTAAACAGCATTAAACCCTCATTAACTAAAGAGTAGAACAAAAACTACAAATCACAACACCCTCTCGCGTAGCCGCAATCGTCTAATATTGACTTGGCCCAAACCGCCGAGCCACTTAACCCGGCCGGGTCAAATAGCCTGCAGGATAATTGTGCCAACCATCGCCAGGATCGACACAAACACATTAATAATGCAGACTATTTATCGTGGCCACGTCCACGCCCACTCCCAGTTCCACGCCCAAACGCCTAAGCATCAAAATTAGCGCAAATAACAATTAAAAATGCTTGAATGCATTTAATTATTTTGTTCATTGTTAGTGCAAATATGTATGCTCAAATCGAGAAACTAATCAAAAATGCAATCGAAAAATACAGTTTGCACAAATTAATTAAAATTATCGAGGTGGGCGAGGATCAAATCAACAAAATAGAAGGAAAAAAAAGTGAAATAACAAATGGCAGAGGCAAAGAAACTAATTAATGAGTTGATTAATAAACAATTAGACGGAATAGTGCTGGGGAGGCTGTAGGAAGGCAATAGTTGTGGCATTGCGATGGCAATTTATGAGCTGGTAATTGACGCCCACACACGCGGATACAAAAGTGGAAGTATCTCGGACCCATAACTCAGTGTACTCCAAACCAAGTGGCGAGTGTTGTAAATCAAGTGAACCAGCCTTCCAAACAGCCAGGCAGTCAGTCAGCCAGCCAGCCAGGGAGCCAACTTGTTTTCGATTTCTTGGCATGCAAACCTGGCCGAAACCCCTTCGATGCCTCCTGCCTGCCTCATGCCACAGATCCCCCAACTAGATACCCGAAATTTTTTTTTTAGCTAGCACAAAAGTGGGTGGAGCGGTTTTGATCCCGGTGGCAGCCACTGCACTTGGCTTCTGCAGTTGCAAATTTCTTACTTCAACCGGGACACGCCCACGTTTTTTTTGTGGGCCTTTAGCCCTCAGGTTCCTTACTTTTTTTTGTTATATTTTTTAGGCTTACACATACACAGCAGCAACTGCTGATTGTTCCGATAAGTGGCCCACGACTATGCCTTTGGTTTTTGGCTTAAAACACTATTGTATTTGGTTTTGCAGTGGACCCGAGTGAAAATATGTTAATTGCAGTTGAATTAATACAGAAGCTCAAAGTACAAACTTGATATGGGGGAGTACAGTGGGCCATTGTTGAAGTTTAAATTGAAATTGAAATAAATGTTCCAAAAGCGTTAATTGCTTCATTAACAAGCAAATTAGTTGGCAACTACTAGGAGAGAAACTTAATATTAAAAGTGCTATTCTCACAAAGATAAAAATGCTTCTATAAGAAATTCCCAAAAAAGCACAAAATTGAAATTAATTTTAGGACACAAACATTTGATTGCTTAATTTACATGAAAATTAACTAGATGGGAACATGGAACTTGGATGAGAAGGCGAAATCACAGAGACCTTAGAGCAAGAATGCCAGAAACGCGAAAACCCCGACATGGAATCAAAAGTAATGGTGTCAGCAGGCTGGAAAGCATCGACCCGACAGGACAACACAGTCGCGGAGTTCATAAAGACGCAGACCATTAAGATGTTTTAATTCCTGATTTTGCACCCTCGTCCTGGCTGGATCTACTTTTTTTTTTCTACTGTCGGTTAGGTCCAGTGAGTCGGGGGATTCCCGTCGTCCGTCTTGGCTCATGACCCACGGAGGGCTGTCAATTTTTGGCTGCTGCTTTATGCCCGTCGTCTGTTGTCGTTTTATTTTTAATTTCGTCTGAGCGCGTAGTCGTATTTTTTATGCCGTCGAGGCTCATTAGATTTGCAAAATGTTTTCCCGAGATGGTGGTCGTTAATGTTATTAGGTTCTTGGTCTCTGACCCGCCCCGAAAGTGCCAGAATGCAATTGGATTAATAAATGCCATTAGGCATTGCAAGTGTTTTATTTTTATTCCATTTTTTTGGGATGGATAATTTGTATTTATGCTGTCATTTTATGCCACATTTAAGTCGAGTTATGGTGAGCCAAGAAATAAGTGAATTATTAGGGGCAAAAATAATACCGACAAAGGAAAGAATTCCATTCAAGAGAATATACTTTTTAGAGCAGGAGGATGTTGATAGAAATTTCTGTTTTAATTTATGAAGGCTATGATTTGGCTGCAGGAGACATTAGGCCATCAAAAAAGAGAAATTAATTATTAGTAGAGAAAAATGGAAAAGGGAAATAGAAATAAGACAAATGTCAACATCCGGTGAGGCTATTTCACGGGGTGACTTGGTGGGTGTGACCCCGACACTTGGCAAACACATTTTCCACCAGCAATTAGACCAAAGCGTTTCGGTTTTTTTCTTTGAATATAAATGAAGTGAAATTAAAAGGCAACTGTTGACAAAGGCCAGAGCCACACATGCGGTCAGGGTCAAAAAGCTACAATCGAATCTGGCCGGGCGCCATCAAAGCAATCGCACGTGTCTGGGCGGCCGAATGAGTCCTGCAGCAAATGCGTCTGACACCTTTCACCGGAGATGTGTGAAAAAACGAAAACCGCTTTCGCATAAAAGGTCACAAAGCCAAACACAATTGGAGAGGTCATCGTGGTTGGGGGCCACTGAACTGACCAGGACGCTCACTCATCCCGAAACCAATTTGATGTGACAGCATCAACGCCCTCAGATCTAATAATTATCAAAAATATATTCATATAAGCTTCTCTAAGTTAATGAGAAAATTTCAAAAAGAAGATGGATTCATTGAGCTTGAAATTTGAGAAATATAATCAATTAAGTTAAGGTTAACACCTTTGAAAGGTCTTAGGAGCAGAGGAACTCCTAAATGTCTTATTATTGAAGGTAACCATAATTTTGTCTTACGACACTTGTTTTCTACCAATCACTCGAAATACCTAATTTCAAATATCCATACTAGAAAATGTAATTATTTTTCAATTCCCCAAGTAACCCCACATGTGTATAGTAGAAACACATATCCGAAATCTAGACATTCCCACTGGAATTACGTCTGACGAAAGACCCAACCCAAGCCCGAAGAACTACCATTCACGCCAAAATAAATTGAATTCTTTTTCGGAAAATGAAACTAAATGAATTAAAAATGCTTAGCTGGCAGACTCCCCATGTAGTAGATATATATGTATGGCATACCCCTCCGCCTCACCGCCCACAAGGAGGCGTAAAAAATAATTAAATGATAAACTAATCTACACCCAAGCCTTTAATAAGCAAAAGCGCCAAAGTGCGGGGAAAAAGAGGTCCAAACTGATAGAGTAACAGCTATTGGTATCTGTGAGTTTTGGGGGAAAACGCAGGAGGGAAAACAGGAGAAAAGTTGCCTGAAAAATGGGAATAGGGGGAAGAGCGTACCAGGCTAACAGGCTGGGTGTCCTTGCTGGGTTCGCCGCCTGGGCAAATAATTATTATTTTTCGAAACTATAAATCTGCTTACAAAATATTTTCGTGCATTTTTCTCCATGCCACCCACAGCGCAGAGACGGTGTGCCAAAAAGGGGGGAGTTTACTATGGAAGGGGTAAACCAGACTGCGCCAACATCGGCAATGATATACAGTTTTCAATTAAAAATTATAGACTAATGAAATTTTCCAGCAACGCCGGCAGGAGAGTTTTCTGGGCTTTTACAATATTTTTTTTTTGTATTTTTGTATTTTTTTTGGGTGGAAGCTGGGAAGGTAGACCTTCTGGAGGAGAGAAGAGTTAATTGCCAGTCAGGCAATGAATAAGAAAAAGTTACCAGAAAAATCAACTTAACCTTTTAAAGGTTTGTATTAACTATCCTGCCGTTTTCTCCGGTAGCATTTGAAGTTCCCAAGCTCTGGATGAAAAGAGTTTTGTCATCTCATACGTGTTGGCCCTCTCCTGATTTATGCTATTTACTTTTTATCAAGCTGCCGTCTGCACTGGCTCCAAAAATAATTATAAGCCTTGGCCAAAAACTGCTCCGGCCTCGCCCCGACCTTTTTCGATCAAATTTCTTAGTTTACAAAAACTACATAGATGGACCCCCGTACATGGTACGTGTGTGTGCACACACTGCACACCAACCACAAAATATTTTGGTATGAAAAATGTCCAAATTGCAAACCGAAAAATGTCTCCTGTACCTGGAGAGGAACGAGGAACGAGACTAAAATTGGGGTTACTCCGCAGAGTAGTTTGCTTTTTGTTTGCTTTCTAATAGTTGCCAGGAATGAGTAATATGTGGACGATGAGCACCTGTCCCATAACTGGAACCCTGTCCTTTGCAGGATTCATCCACCCCACTCTTAGGACATCCTCTGATCCGAAAACATTGTTGGTTTTTAGTTTTTCTAGGCTTTTGTTTATAGTTGGGTGTAATTTGCTTTTAAGCGGTTTTTAATATCAAAGTATTGCTGAAATATTTCCTACAAAAAAAAAAGGTAAAAACCCTCCCTCATTAGAAGATCAAAACTTTTCATCCTGAAAATGCGTGGAAAATCTGTTTGAAATTGTTATGTCATTTTTATGCAAAATATTTTTCAAATCTGGTGGTTTGCTTTTTGAGACTTTGTCGTAAAAACCAGGGGCACAAAATAATAACATTTAGAAGCTGTTTCCTACAAACCTAATGGCATCAAAGTGGAGAAAAAGTGAAAAAGTCATCAAAATGTAACTGAAGACATTTTCCGCGACTAATTCCTCTGTCCTGTTTGGGTCCTGGAAAACCAGGCCTTACTTTGCCATTCGTTTCACATTTTTTAATGCCTTTGGTTTCTGTTCCACCCCGACAGTTCATTAGCCAGAATTTACAGTTACTTTTTGGGAAGTGCAACCGAAAAAAATGGTACCCAAATGTAGGCCCAAAAAGGACTCTCGATGGCTTTGAGGGATGCTTGTTGTTACCTTGCCCCAAAAGAACATCTGAGACCCTCTCGTCCACAATTACCATGAATATTAAGCCACAATAAGAGCCAGAAAGCTGCAAGCTGAACTCGCAATTGATGGAGCCACAGATGTTTCGGTGTGGTTTGTGGTTTGGTTTCTGGCCCACTCGGCCTCACCTTTGGCCAGGTAACTGAGGGAGGGTTGCTTTCTAAAATCTTCTCCAAGGGTTGGGTAAAAACTTCAAAGTACCAATTGCATTTTAAATTAAATTTATGTGGCCTTGCATTAGTAATTGAAATGGTAATGGATTTTCCTGGTGGTCTATTTGAGTTTTATTTAAATTAAAATATTTTTTAGTTTTATTTAATAAAATTTCTTTTCCTTCAATATCATTTATTTCCAGAGAAGCATACTTATTTTTTGTCCTAATAATTTCGAGTCCCTGGAGAAATGCGCATTCATTCAAAAATTCCCAAAAAAAGAAAAAAAGTTACCCTTACATCACATACAGAACTAACCATTACATACTCAGTTAACTCGATTTTTTTCTTTCATTATTTTTTTGTTCCTTTATTTTTTATCCTTGCTACTCCTGTCCATTTGCAAAACGTTGGCAGCCAAATTGAATTCAAATTCAATTTGAACTTTTCAATTTGGAAGCCGTTGAGAGAAGTTCTCAAGTGGTAGGATGGATAACAACGAGTGAGGCACATTTCAAATGCGTAAAATGTAATGAAAATTATGAGTTTTGAGAGTTTGGAGTTGAACCTGAAAAAGTGAAAGCCAAATGAAATTTCACAAACCAAATTGTTCATGCACTTTTGAGCAACACTTTCAGCGTGAAAACGGCACAGACACAGACCCAGGCTCAGACAGTTGGCCTCAAATGAAATGAAACATAAATTTAAATTGAAATACGGCAAAAGCTACAGAGACGTGAGCTGTTTTTGTTGCCAGTCCTTGGCCGCGGGCTGCGTTTTTGTTGCTGGGTGTGTCGAGGGAAGTTTTCTTCACTTTCCCTTGGATTCTCAGCCACCCAAGGATACCTTTCTCAAGAAATAAATACACGACAGTTATGACAGTTAGAGCTTTAATAAGTCAGAAAGGTAGATTAGCTTAGATTATTTAAACCTATAATACTAAATTAATCGTTAAAACTTTTAGCGATGATCCCTGTTGCATTAGGCTAAGCACGATGACGATAAATGCTTCAAGGCTAGACCTAATCGAGATGTCCCCATCGCCATATATAGGATTGAAGAACAGCGTTGGTTAAATATAAATTTTTAAGCTCCTAGAAAATATGAAAACCAAAACCAACTTTGAATTCCTTAGATTCCTGAATGAACACATGACATTTTGACATATTTTTTAAAAGCCAGAGACAACATGGTGACAAGACAATCAAGGCAAAAATGTATCTGTTTGGTTACCCATTCCAGTTAGATCTCCGACTGCATATTTTGTTTGACATCATTGTTGCACATGCCACGTGCTGGTGTGTGCTGCTGCTGCAGTTACTGTTGCACCTGCAACATATTCGTTTGGGGGGAAAACGCCCCAAAAAGGCGGCAACATGCAACACGCCGGTGAAGCGGCGAAGGCCTTGCAAAAAATGCAGCCAGCTGCATGTGCGTGCATAAATTTCCAGCTGCTGTTGTGTTGTTCCTTTCGGTTGTTTGCCGATTTTGTTTGCCGATCCAGCAATGAAGACATGACATCAAAAGAGCCAACCTGCGCCCTCCATTCTGAAATTTGCAATATTTTCCAAGGCATTTCCTACACTTTTAAAAACACCCAATTTTTCGACAAAGGGCCTTTATGCTCTAGTTAACTGAACTTTGACTCTGAATTGCGGACATAAATAAAACTAAACACTAAGAACAAATGCTGTTATTATAGCTTCTGTCGTTGTTTTTCTCTTTGTTTGTTGCACAAAGCCGCGGCAACACGAGGAGCAACCTGAAAAGGAGCAACTAATGCAAACAATAGTTGAATGTTTGCCAGCCTGTGTGCGAAAGCATTTCATAGTTCACATATGAAGGACAGACAGTCAGACAGAAGGACACGCTGAGGAGAAATCCGAGGGGGTGGACGGTCGGTCTTGGAGGGTAAACACCCAAGGGAAGCAGCAAAAAGGATATCGCGTGCCAACAAAAAATCACCATGTAAACACTTTCCACACACACACACACATATACAAAAAGGCGCGAGACTGGAGAAAGCTTTTTGAAACCAAAACCACCCACCCACCATAATAGACCCCCTTTAGCAGCCCCACCCAAAACCATCACCATTACATGTGTACAATAGTCGCCTAAGGTTCAGGATCCTGCGTTGTTGTTCGTGGATTGTTTTGTTTTATTGTGATTTTTATGCCAGTCGTTTTGTTTTGGCATTTCTGGCAAATATTAGTTCCATATTCCATAAATGGAATGCTATTGTATTTCGTTTGCTTTCCTCCAGGGCTAATAGCTTTAGTTGCAGAGGGGATGTAGTACTAGCTCTGTATAGGTTACAGGTTTGTTATGCATTACCCATACCTCTTGAAAATAATATACAAAATATTCTTTTAAACTAATTTAATTTTCTGTTTATTTTAATCTCATTATTTATGAATACATAAGAATTTCATATGTTGTAGCGATGCGTAAAATTTTCACTTAGAGCTTAGTCCTCCCTCCTTTAATCCGTTTCTGCAAGTAGAAGATTGTTAATTTAGTTAAGATTTTGGCAAGCTTGTTGAGACAATTATGGAGTTAAGCCGCTTTGGGCCGGCACATGCAACCATCTGTAGAGAGGTAGACACAATAATTACTAGACATTTATATTAAGTTTAATTACATATACAGGTAGTCGCAGTCTAAGTCGGTGGTGTATGGGCAGCAGCATAATGCAACCAATATGTATGCAATATGTAAAGCGTTTCATGATTTATGCAACCACCCCGAGCACCTCCTCGAAAAACCGAGAAACAAAATCAACAAATCATTTTTCTGGCCAACGCTGACAGCTGCAATTTTTCACTGCTACTTTCTGGAAGTCATGCAACATTTAGCCAACTAAAGTCGGACTTTAAAGCTGCCCAACCTAACTAGTAACTCCGAGACGAGAGCCACCCCCAGTAGTAGAGTCTGAATACCCCACCGGTTTTGGTACCAAATCAATTAAATTCAATTAAATTCGAATAACCACAAGCCAAGTGCATGATGCCCCCATCGGTTGGCGCTTAACCTTATCGGTCAGTGGAAGTGCAAGTGCAAGTCCAAGTGCCAAGCCAGTGCCCCATTGTTATTTTCCGAAACCGAAGTTCCACTCCCCCAGCTCGGCTGTCAATCTTATTCTAATTGAAATGCATACACAGGCCCGGCACGACTTGGGTTTCGCTTTGCAAATTGCCTTTTACGCATAAACAATTGAAATTCTGGCCAGATTTCCGGTTCGGACTTAAATTCCTCTCCGAGGAATGGTGTAACCCTTACCCCTTTTTTTGGCTCCAAAATCAACAAGTTAACTGCATTCTGCCTGTCATTCAAATTGGATTCCACAAATTGACCCCCCAGGGGGAAATATGCCATTCAGTGTTTGGTTTCTCACTGTCTAATTGACTTCTGAATGGAAAACGGACTTGCATTTTGTCCACGGATGGGGAAGGCTTTAATTTTCCTTTTGGAATCAGTCTATTTAAAAAGGAGTTGACCCTTTTTCACCTGAAAAATATTCTACATTCTTTTTTGAAAAAGCACTTTGGACAATTTTTGCATAATATTTTTGTACGAGTATGCCTGAAGCGTTCTTCCCCACTATCCACCTTTTTATTATACTTTTAATTAATTAAAAAGTGGTTGCACCTTTTTTGGGTTCTCTTACGTAAAAGTGTCCACTTTTTTGTGTTGTTTTGGGGGAAAAATGTGCACAATTTTTATTTCGCACATGCGAAATTAGCGCTGCTGGGGTCGCATACCTTGTTAAAATATTTGCAAATATTTAAATTGACATTTTTCCGTCATGTTATGACTATGAACAATGTCAATTTTTGATGGGTAACTGGCCTCAAGGCTCGAGGTGTTCTCCTTTTTGTTTTTTTTCTCGTTTGTCGTGTTTTGGATGTTTAAAATTCCGAAAGGTAGAACTCTTTAAAGCTGCATATGGAACACAAAAACCGAGAACCGATGAGGAGAAACTAATCAAAACAAATTCAATTAAACGACACACGACAAGCCACGGATCTCGTATAGGGGTCCAGTGTATAAACAGAGTATCCATTGGATACCACCACCTCCTTTGGCTTATCTGGCAGCACAATCCATTAAAATTGCACATCGTTTACACCAAAAATCAATTCGCCAAAGCATTTAGGCATTACAAATGCCAAGCCAGCCACTGGAGCTAGTCCACTTCACTGCAAAGCTTCCAGTCCAGAGTCCGGAGGAGACCAGGTTTTTTGTTTGTTTTTTCATTTTGGGATCTGGGATCCCGCTTCAAATTCAACGTTGATGCCCATAAATTTCGCATACGGCGAAACTCCTCCGACGGCTGGACGTCCGTTTGTCTTTTTGTCTGGGGGGCTACCAAGCGATAAACGCAGTCCAGTTGGCATTGCTTTGAAATGTATCCGCCAGATACGAGTAGTACAAAAGCAGCATTTGTGGAGAGCCAGTCGCCAGCCGGCAGCCTGGTCAGTTGTTTTGTGGCTCCTCTAGAGCGGAGTGGTTAGGGGTTTGGGTTTTTTTTAGAGGAGCATATGTGATGGTGATTTAAGGGAAATAGGGTCTTTTAAAAATTAGGTCTTTCTTAATGATACTTTTAAACTCCTTTATTATTAATTGATATATAAGCTCTAGTATTCAAAATAATTTCTGAATAGACTGTTATAAGCTCTACTTTAAGATCTCCCATCTCTAGAACGTCAATCGCTTCATGTCCTTTGGCTTCATGCCGGTATGTCAGTGTCACCTCACGCCCGACAAATTATGTCTATCGGAAACACAGAAAGCCGCAAAAAAAAAAAGAGAGTAGAAACCCAATTCCCAAATCGTGTATCCGCGGCAGCACAAATGCATGTGTGGATCGCTGATGTCGAGAGTGGTTCAGTGGTTCAGTTCGGGGTACGGTGGTGTCACATTGTCGTGCGTTTTATTAGTGGCAACTCAAACAGCAAATTGAGATTAGAAGGCCGCCGACGAGGCCATGAGTTATGGCCTGCATTAAAGCGCATCAAAGTGGGCAAATGGAAAAATGCGTAAAATACGACCACCTAATGGGTGGTTCAAAATGGATGTTTTAGGCCATAAAAAGTTGTCCTATTTTTAGCCTCCTCTTGGTGTAAGACTTTATTAATTTAAGCGCCCATTTAGATCGCTTAGCAGTACTTAGGGTTCGGGTTGTGGCACCCCTTAAGGACTCTGTTTCCTTTTCGAGCAATTTACATTCGATTACTGTCCTATCTACTTTGATCGCTGACAACCCACAGAGTTCAACATGTGATATCCTTGACAGTTATGAGTTGTCGGCACTGTGGGTCCCCCACTTTCCCATGTCCTTTATGAGGAAGCATGTTATATCAACAATAACAAATGTCAAATATGATTTGCATAACATTGAAACATTCCTTTTGAGTTTTTTTTTTTTCAGTAACTTCCCTGTTGCTTCTGTCAGTAACTTCTCTGTGTTTTTTTTTCACTTTTATCATAAATGATAGCAATCTAAAATGTTATTTCCCCTCGCAACCCGCATAATTCACTTGATTTTCCTCATCTGACTTTCACTTACAATCCGCACAATCCATTTGAGACCCTCGGAGAAATAAAGGAAGACAACATTAGGCCTTATTACATTTGACATGTTGCTCCCTGGCAAAGTTTTCTTTCATTTTGGTAGTCGCGCCCGCCACCCCTGGCTACAAATCAAAAGATAAATTGTTTTCGTTCATGATTTATATATAAAAATGTTTCGTTGACTTCGCACCACCAATCCACCCAGTAGTACCCAGTTTCTACTCCAACTTTTTTCCTTTCTTATCACCGCCGTTGAAAGCGAGCAACAAATATTAATATTGTTTGTATTTCATACGCTTTCGCCTTTTTATTTCGTTTTCAATTTAGTCAGGGAAAGCGTCCGTGTCCGGGTCTGGGTCCTGGCCCTGGTCGCATGTCAAATTTAATATAAATTATTGGCAGAAAATCGCCGGAAAAATACTCACAGTTCTTGCTCCTTTTCCAGACGTGTTCAGACATAACCTTTAACTGATTTTCGTAGGCCTTCCGGGCCAGGACATCCTTGGCCTTCGGTGTTGGCTTATTGCAGTTTTCTGTTTCCGAAAAATGGTCCAAATACTCATCCCGTTTGCAGTACATGCACACTCCGTAGATGAACTCCTCCTCGCAGATGGTGGCATTTGTGGACCTGGCCCAGACCGCACTCGTTTTGGCCAACTTGAACAGCTTGCCCACATAGATGTGGGCCGTGGGTATCGGAACGAAGGCATTCGGGGCGATAGTGGTTATCGGATTGTGCTCCAAATTCAGCACCTGAAGGTTCTTTAGTTTGTCAAAGAGACCGCTGGTGTAAAGAATAAAAAAAAGTAGTTTTATTAAAAACAACTTCTGGTAAAAAACTGAACTTACTTCTGAATACGATCGAGGTTGTTGTAGGCCAAATGTATTTCCAACATCAAAGGCGTATTGTGGAACAACTGATCCGGCAGTCGGGCAATATTATTTCGTTCCAATCTCAAAGTCAACAGATTCTTCTGGGCCTTGAGGAATTCTCTGCTGATGTAGCTTATATTGCTTCTGATGCCCAAGTAGGCCAACTGTTCAGATTTCCAAAACAGCTCCGTGGGCACATTGTCGCCGCAGTTGAAGATTTCAACGGATTGTAGTTCGGCCATGTGCCAGAGTTCCTTGGGCCCGAAGGCAGACATTTCCACACTACTATTTTTGGCATCGCAATCGATCATCAGGTGCCGTAGCTTCGACTGCTTGGCCAAGATCTGGCCAGAGACTTTGCCCAAATTCTTGATGACAATGTTCAGGTGGGTGAGGTTACCCAGGGGATGCAGAATGGTGGGTGGAAGATCGCTACTACCCTTCAGGGAAAGATGTTTCAGAGCCGGCAGTCGCTCCAGGAAGTTGGCTGGCAGTGTGGACTTGAAGCCTATGATGGAAACCTTCTTCAAGTTCTCATGATCACTGTAGTACTGCTGCAGAACCTCTCCCCGATCGGTTTTCTTCGGGTCGAAGTAGTTGAGGATCTCCAGTTCCGTATAGTTGTAAATGCCCAGTTTACTAATCAGATACTTGACACTCTCGGCATTCGGAATGGCACAATTCTGAATGTTCAATGGACCGATATTGCCGGCTTTGAGGGGCGGGATATAGCCATATCCTCGGGCATCGAAGATACTGCAACTGATTCCGTACAACTGTTCGTTGTTGCTGTGAAGCTGCAGGTTGTCGCACTTGATCTCCTGATCCTGGCACTCGCACAGATTCGAATCCTTGATCAAAGCCTCACAACCGGCCTTCGTCACGTAGCTGTTGGTGCTCACTGTTGTAGCATTTTTCTGCCAGGAGGGAGCAATCACGACCAACAAAAGCAGCACTGGCAACATCCTGAGGCTATATCCACCAAAAGACTGATCGCTGGAAGGCACAAGCAGAAGATTTTTAAATTAGTTTTTATGATCCAGCAGCAGCTGCTCTATCTCTTTCTGAATTTCCTTCAGGTAGCTCACGCATTTCCCTGGAAGTGCCAAGTTTTTCCATCTCCTGCTCTTCTTTCCCATTTTTCAAGCTGCAAATACCGCCCCCCATTTTACACCCAAAGGCCGACTGCCATTTTTACACAAATTTGATTACCCGGGGCCGGCCAGGTAAACTAAACGCCCTGCCCCTTGGCCGTCTCTCGATTTTCGCTTTACCTGCTCGTTTAATGGCCCATAATTTACTACGCAACTTGGCCGATTTGTGCATAATATTAAACCATTTTGGATTCGCCTTGCAACAAAAATCGAAAAAAATCATGCGAAATTGAACGCAAAAAGCTGCAAACAAAATGACTTAAATTGCCATTTGTGGGGCCTTCGGTGGGGTTTTTGCTGCAAGATGATCTGTATGTAAGAGCAGCGGCAAGAGTCTGTCCAAGTGGTTCTGATAACAGTTGAAAAATGCTCGATTTTACATACGAATCCCCCCAGACAGAGATGAAGAAGCGAATGGAGGCAATCTTGAATTTAAATGGATGGAGTTACATTGGTTCGAGGTATAGGGATAAAGGTGTTGGTCTTTTTTTAATTAAAAATATTACTAAAAGCTTTATCTGTTTCAGGAAAAAATACATACTTCACCTAAGTAATATTTCATGGACCATATAATATACCTTAATATCTAGAATTCTTCATCATTAAAGTAATATTTATTAATGGAATATGTATATAGAAATACAATCACTTTCTTTCCTCCAAGACTTAAGCTAGTTAATTTACTAAAATATTTTAATTTCAAATAAAAATAGTATCCATTCAACCAAAGTTCACTGCTATCGAAGTCTTTCCACCTCATCTGCAACATTGTACCCCCAACTCCACGTCTGAATCTCCTGAATTGCAGTTTTAAGTCTGACTTTGCTGTTGATCTCGTATCTTTTTTTAAAAACATAAAAAAAAAGGAAACTGTAGACCGGCTGACCGAGGAGGCATGGCTTGATTTCGAACAAATTACAATTCATTCTGGTTTTCAGTTTCATTACAAATGCAAAAATGCAAAATGGCAAGACGGCCATTAACTCGAAGTCTCAGGATGGACTGCGATGGGATGGGGATGGGATGTTGTATGTCTGTCTGTCTGTCTGTTGATCGATGATCGCTGTGGCCGCCGATGATCAAGTTTTGTGTATCGTTTGGGGCGTACATGCGTAAGTGCCTTTGATCCCCCTTTGCTCCTGGTGGAGCAGTTGCATTCACAGATCGGGGCCAATGCATTTGAATTTGTCTGGCCGGCAGCCAAATCGATCGACAACCAATCAGCCCCAGTTCAGTTCGGTCAGCCATCATGCCAGTTTACCAGTCCGCTCATATACACTCTAACAAAAATATGTATATAAATAAATAGCAATATTTGAATTACTAATCATATTAGATATTTATACTTTTGAAACATCAGGCATTGATTCAAATACTCCAGAAGTCTCTTAAAAATATAAGAAAAAAAAAATGAAACGTGGATCAGACAATGATGAGGATGTTGATGATTTCGATGAGGACATGGTCGATAGTGATAGAGGAGATATTAAAGTTGTCTTCGGTCCTCATAGTAAGAGATTTCGAACCACACTCGCAGCAATACCAGAAGAAATCGAGGTTGAAGACAGGGAGTTTAAAGACGCTGCCGAAGAATTCTCAGCCAGTTTAACACCCACAATTCCAAATTGGCTAGATTTACTTAAAAACTATCAGAAAAATGATGAATATTATATTGACACTCTGAAGCGGAATCGGGAAAGGATTCAAAAAGGCCCCAAGAGGAGCCATACCTCAAGCCCGCAGTCAGTAGACCATCAAGCGAAAAGGAGAAAACTAGGCTGATATGGATGAAGTTGGATGAGCTTTTATTTTGTTTAATAAGAATTCTAATAATTTCTATATTTTATGTTACATATATATATGTTTATTTTTTATGTTATAAATATTTATAAAATTTATTTTTGTGTAGAGTTTTGAGCTGCTGCTTCTGCTGCTGGCAGTGGCAAACATTTCATTTTTCACGATCCACGAGCAGTCTCTCGTATTCCCAAGAGCTAAATCAATAAATTACGTGACAGGCATGCAGAAAACCTGATGCCTCCAACTTGGCTGTGGCTTTGGCTCCGAGTCCACTTCTTGATCGCCGTTTGCGTTTTGCTTCGTTTTGATTGAATCAATCAAAAGCTTGTGCATTTATATGAAAAGTATAAAGAAGTTGCAAGGTTGATAAAGTTGGATAGCCAATACCCTTTATCTTAAAGAATTTATAGGTTACAAGCAAGTTTTATTGTGTTTTTGGGACTCCAAACATTAAAAATAAACAAAAATATATTTAAGAGACTTTTGTACTTGTACTTGTACTGGTGAGTCTGAAAAATCGTATAAAGGATCTACTGTATTATATTGTTTCAATAAACCACATTAGTCTCTCTATAAGTAAGAGTATAAGAAAAATGTCGGTGAACATGCATTCTACATATATATCGTTTGCAGATCTTCTGGCGCTGCCATAACATAAATTATTATTATGCCTTGCCCAATGGCCGGGGCCACAGATATTTTCTGTACTCCATTTATCCCCCTACCACCGCGCACCCCTCGAGGTAGATTCGCATTAAATTTGATTGGTTTTCATTTGTTGCGAGCAGGAAATGCTCAATAAAGTTCTTAGCTCGCTTTAATTAACTTTGACAAATTGAAAATTGAAATTTGTGGAAAATGCTTACCGAAAAATACAATATAATCGAATTAAAATTTGTATTCAGAATTCTTCGCTGGGACTCTTTCAATTAGTAATAAATAATTTACTTTCAAGTTGGTTGAAAAGTTTTCTCCAGCAAAGAGCTAAGCGGTGCATAATCCATGAAAGGGCACGCCGGTAAAGTTTAAGAAGCCAGAATAACTGCTGGGCCACCAAAATTCAAAAGCCAAAGAGTAGTCGAAGCCCCAAAAAACATTTTCTACTATTGTACCTCGAAATCTTCATTGATTTGGATTTCTTGTACCGAGGAAAATCGCCTTAGGCTGAAACTTTTTCGACCAACTGCCCCGACCTCCACACAGCCCGGCAGGACGGACAAATAAATGGTCATAATCCTGGCCAGACAAAGGCTGGCACTACCGGCTGTTCCTACTGTTCCCGGTCTTTGGCCCACCTTAACCCATAACTCATGTCTGGGCGATTGGGGGGTGCATCTGTGTTTTGCATTTGATTTATTCCACATGCAAATTGTGGTATTCGTATAAAAATGAAGTTGTTGGAAGCGTTTTATTCCCAGAAACGTTTTTTGCCTCTCGCATTGACTAAATAATAATAATTCGCCTTCAATTCAAATGCGCACGTTTCCCAAAGAATACCATACAGCGTACTACCGAAAAAGCTGTAGCATAGCTTAGGGCGCCCCAATTCATAAGCTACTTTATGGGGGTTGGAGAACTCACCCCTTGCCCGGATGCCGGACCCCGGGGCGCAACCCGCTCTCGCAAATAAATGCATGAAATTGAATACCAGACCCATCAGTCCCACAATTTTTTGACATGATTCTTCAGTGGATGGATGGGCAAGTCTAAGCAACCGGGAAACCGAGAAACTGAAAACGTCTCCATCATCTCTATTTGGAATTGTAGTTATTTGATGGGTCGTTCGGTAGGTCGGTGTCTTGTTTATTTATGTGTTTGCGCCTATTTATTTATTTTAATTAAAAGGGGCACGTGTTGCTGTTTTCTTTTCGCCAAGGCAACATTGCGCCCAAAGAAACTGATAATGTTGTTTGTGAAAAATTGTGGGAGGTGGGACGTCGAGGTGTAGTATAAGTTTTATTTAAACAAGGAGTAGGGGTGGGAAATAGATTGCGGCAAGTGTAATGAAAACCCTGGGTACTGTAGACAAAGTAAAAATTAAAAAAAAAAATGTATTTAATTAAAATGTAAAACACATTATGCAAAAACTATAATATTAAAATTAACGATCGAAAAGTAACACCAGATTTCTATTGTGCATTAAATCGAGCTGGTAATTGCCAAATGAAATCAAATGACAGCCAAAGAACATCAAACGAGTGACAAAACAAACAGAATCATTAACCCAGTATATCGTTCCATCGGTGGGGGACAATTTCACTGTGTTAAGTCGAAAAGAAATGGCCAGCTAATAGCAATAAAGTAGACCCATAGAGCAACAATCGGAGCAACTAATTAAATGCCACAACCCCCACAGAAAACAACAACAGACAGACAAAGTCAAAGTCAAAGTTTCTTGACTCGTTTTCATTACGAGTTAATTTGAATGTAAATGAACAGAGCAGTCCTGTAGCAGTGGGGGGAAGGCTAAAATGTTTTGGCTAATGTTTCAATTAAGAAGACAGTGGAGAATTTAATTTTCTTTCATTTGGCGCTGCGTTCCAAATGGGTATTGCCTGCCACCCAGGCTGGTAGTAGTGCCCGAGTGCTTTCCATTTTTTTTTTGCTGTTTGATGGAAAGCCAGTAGACAATTTTGTCTGGTTTGTTGTTGTCCCGGGTGATGTTCACAAGGAATTTCAATGTTCCACTCATAATTTCATATAATTTCCATTAATTGTATGAAATTAATGCCGCTGGCTTTGAGACTGACTCTTCTGCACAGTATAAAAAAAAAAATATAATTATCTTTAAAGACAATTTAAACTTTGAATTACTTGTTAGAACAAGCTAAATAAAGACTTGACCTTTAATATATTAAAAATCAGAAATATATTTAAAGCTCTACAAAATTGTTTTCTGTGTTCATCTTCGACTTCTTCTGCTTGTTGGCCACTCCAGTAGCCATTTTCATGATTTTCTACGCACTTTGGCAATGGCTGTCTTGGAAACTGTCTATGCTAATTTCCCAGTTTTGATGACTAGCCGGCTACCAGGGAGCTACT